TTTGTTTACATCGTGTACGTTTGATTTTTCAAGAAATTTTTTATTAAAGACAATTAAACTTGCACCATTTCATTATCAATTAGTTATATAGGTAAGTTTAACAGGTGACCATGCTATTTTTTCTTCTTAGGAGATTTTATTTTACAAGAAACAAACTTCTGAAAATGGTATGTGGCGTTGTTGTTTTGGAAGATAAAAATATGGCGGGTGTTTTCCCCTTCTGAAAATAACTGACACATTTGGATCCTAATTGATATTTAAATATAAAATGACCAAAAATAGTATCAATGATGATGGGAGTCCCTAAATATTTGCATAACTACCCATCACTCCGTGTCAAATTGCAACTGAGGCTGCGAAAAGGAAGCGCATAAATCGACGCCATTTTTCAACAGATCCACATTAATAGTAGGTTTCTGAGCTCACAAAATCCTATTTTTATTACTTTTTAATGGTTATTTCAATTGTAGAACGATCTGAACAATATCCATTACATAATTTTAATTGATCAGATCGGTATATAGTTATTTATTGGTCCCTTTTGAGGCTGAAATCCAGTATTCCACAGACCACATGTAAATAACGCCCCTTTCCCAGCGTGAGACTTCAATTTAAAACAAAACTTTAACTTTGGCCTGTCAATGTTAGCATCTATATTTTGATTTAATTATTACGGTTGTGTATTTTAATATATATATAGGCCCCACCCCTTTCGTGGAAAAAATTTGGTTGATTATATAGGGTATCACTGAAACATGACAGTAGCTGGACCCCTCTTATGGCAGTCAGTGGGCCCCCTTATAAAAAGTTCTGGATCCGCCACTGCTTTTCTTATTAGACAAATTATTAATCGACACCCAAAGTCTATTTTTTATTTTTATTGAAGCTTAATAAAAAATATATACATACTTTTGATTAAAATAAGAATAATTTCAATTTAAAAAAAAATGATAACAAATATCATAAAATAATCTTAAGTATATACATTGTGGGATTTTCTCATGGTTGAAGACTCGGACTTCTCTTGAACTGAATTTTAATGTGCGTATTGTTATGCGTTTACTTTTCTACATTGGCTAGAGGTATAGGGGGAGGGTTGAGATCTCATAAACATGTTTAACCCCGCCGCATTTTTGCGCCTGTCCCAAGTCAGGAGCCTCTAGCCTTTGTTAGTCTTGTATTATTTTTAATTTTAGTTTCTTGTGTACAATTTGGAGTTTAGTATGGCGTTCATTATCACTGAACTAGTATATATATTTGTTTAGGGGCCAGCTGAAGGACGCCTGCGGGTGCGGGAATTTCTCGCTGCATTGAAGACCTGAGGTGACCTTCTGCTGTTGTCTGTCCTATGGTCGGGTTGTTGTCTCTTTGACACATTCCCCATTTCCATTCTCAATTTTATTTAAGGTTGCCTAAAATTGCTTATATCCACTTCATTTGAATTTTTGTGGATAGTTGTCTCATTGGCAATTATACCACATCTGATTAGTTTTAAATTAGTGAAATTTATAGAAACATTCAAATTAAAATGTGAACCTTCTCATTCTTGGACAACATAAGAATCAGTAGACAATTAAAATATAACTATAACTTTATAACTACAACTCTTTGAATGAATCGTTGGAAATTATTTTCATTTACTAATATCATAACATAAATTATTTATTTACAGATAACAATAGGAATAAGGAATAAAGAAGAGCAGGAAACATTTCCGTTTTGAGGATTTATGGAACAGAGAACTATTTGACTTTTGTTTTACATGGACTTTTTAACAATAATGCTTCTTAAATTTTAAACTTTATTATCATGCAGTTTTTTTTTTAATTACTTCCAAAGTATTAAGTCGTTTTGTTTATTTTATTGAAGCTTATTCAATTATAATTATTTAAAATTTGAACCCACAAAATACAGATGATCTCAGGTGCTCTGGAAGAGTAAGCATTAAGAATGAGATGCCCAGGTGCCCTTTTCCTATATGTAATCACATGATTTTGCAAATTATTGTGTTCTTTTATTATTGCAAATTTGAAGAATGGAAAAAAACGTGTGAAAAAGTATTGCTTTTGCAGAAAAATCAGCACACAGATATAGGAATGGTATAAATCTGATTAAAATGTAGATCATGTGTCATGTGTGTCCAAGCTTTGTTTTCTTGTAATTAAAGCTTGGTCACAGGATTTGCATTTTCATCAGTTTAAAGGTATTATAATACAATTTATTATTTACATTTGTAGATACTCACCCATTCACATTATTGCATTAATAAAAATCTTGCTATCCTTTCTGAATTTACAGTACCTAAAATCATGATAGACCTGGACAAAGATTAGTGTGAAATAAAAGTTGTGGGTCGAACATTAATATCAATGCAATAAAACAGGATCACCGAAATCAGAGTGAGACATTCATATGCCATCTTCAAAATAGACCTTAGAAGCGATATAGCTTTTTTTGTAATGCTCTTATAGCTCTAACGTGTATTAAGACTTGTATGTACTAGGCATTGAGCATTCCTGGATGCATTCAATTTGAAAAGTTTTTTTTTTTTATCTTCAACGAAGGAATAGACAATGATAGAGTAAATAATGAATGCTAAAAATACCATTGTTAATGTTAGTTTCTTCAGCAGCAGCATATCTGGGTTGAACTATTTTTTTCAACTTTAGTTTTCCTTGGGAAAAGTTGTTTTAAAAGAAATCCATATTGACAATTGAAAGAGGATAATTACAGGTTACTGTTTCAGCATTCAACAATTAGCAAACCAATATGTCAAGTATAAAGGACCTGGTAAAGCAGCATGTGATAAAAATTCTAAATCCAGAACTATAAATGGTAAAATAATTACAACTATTGAAGAAAAACAAATTTGATGAATGGCCACAAGAGTTTAACATGCCCCAGGGCCCAGACACACTTAAAAATGAATGGTTTAATAGTGTACAACAGGCAGGCACATTCACATGATTGAGTGTTTGCTTTCTACTAGCTTATAGCTTAGTACAGTGTTGTTTATACAACAAGAACAAAGACTAAAAATCAAGTGAAAATAATTGACTCATCAGATTTTCAGGTCACAGTGGCAGGCAGGCAATATTTGTTAATTGATACTTTTAATATTTTTAATTTGACAAGTTGACACATTTCAGGTAAATATTTACAGAAACAAAGAATGACTGTGATTATGTGGCTAAAAATGGCTTTAAACAGAGATAAGCTGAGTGTTTACACTTTGCATTTGTGCAAGACTTTCATTCAGACAATATTTTATTGCCCAACGGAAGTTTTTTGAAAGTGGGAAAAAGGGGGGACACTTCCAGTCAACTGAAGTCATTTTTATGAACAAATTCATTCATAGACTAAACAAGTTTCAATGTACTACATAAATCTGTTATACATGTACACTGCAGTATAATAATTATATAACTGCAGAAAATTATTGATACGAGGAGTGTGAGCAACAAATGACGGAGTAAAGCCTTCAATCTGTCAACATTTTTATATAAAATATATTTAAAATCCAGAAAACATCGCCACACTTCATTGTCTGAATTAATTTCGTGGTTAAAAACTGGAAAATTTGTCATCATATGCTCCATTTTTTGCAATGAAATAAGGGAGCTACCATTTGATTTTTATGGGAGGGCTAGGATGAAAAATTTTGTCCTTCCTTTTTATTTTTCCCTCTATTCGGTCCTGCCTTTTTATTTTTCACTCTATTCGGTCCTGCCTTTTTTTCAGTGTATCCTGACTTTTTTTTTTACATAAAATGTCATCCTGCCTTTTTTTTTGGCAAATAATCTCATCCTGCCTTTTTTTTTTTACTCAAAACTCCTGTCCTGCCTATTTTTTTTCAAATTTCATCCTAGCCCCCCCCCCCCCCCTCTAAAAATCAAATGGTAGCTCCCTAACTCCAAAAACGACAAAAAATGTTGAATTTTGACCTCCGGTTGAAGTGTTTATTATGTAAACGAGACAAGGAGTCAGTGACGGGAAATTTTTAACATACTAGTCATGTGCCCATATGTTTCTGGGTCACATTTATTTATATTTCAACCAATGAAAAGCTTTAGGATGCAATTGTGTCAGTTATTTTGAGACGGGGGTATTACCCGCGGTTTTTTGGAAGTCAACGGAGATCGTCTTTTGATTTATCATATTTCAAAAACTAAGCAATTATTTTAATATATTTTTGGCAGTCGTGTGACAAAATCTATTCTTATGAAAATTAAACCTCAAATACTGTTGAATAATAAAGTGTTTTGATAGATTTATCGTCTCAAGCACAAGCTACGTTAACTTTTTGTTTACACGCTGATTGCAGCGCCACCACGAAATTTTTCGCCCGGATTAAGTCCCCTTTCCCGCGTGACCGATGAAAGAAACTCTTCAATGTCACTGGCTTTCCCACTGTTATAGCTTGCTGTTCGGTGTGAGCCAAGGCTCCGTGTTGAAGGCCGTACTTTCAGTTTGACCTATAATGGTTTACTTTTACAAATTGTGACTTTGATGGAGAGTTGTCTCATTGGCACTCATACCACATTTTCTTATATCTTTCCGTCATAACTCATTTTAGAGTGGCTCTTGTATGTTTTATGATATTGTTTTATTAACTATTTGCATATTTTATAAAATGAAGAGGTGAGACTTAAATAAAAATATTGTCTTGACTTGTCTTGTCTTGTCTGTATTTGTAACTTGATTGATATGCTTGTAATGAGTCCTATGATTAGGCGCTATATCTTTGTGATTTGGTTTGTGAGAATAAAGATATATATAGATACAGTAGCATGACACTATTATACAATAATTTGCCACCCGCCATTTTATCTGATAGACACTCGGACTATGACAGCCCGAAGTAGTACCAACTCTCCATGTGCCAAATCAATTTATAGATTCCCAATTGACATACAGTGTTTTTATAAGCCTACGCAGAAAAACCCGAGAGTAAAATTTCCAAAAAATCTTTCTACTTTCGTTTTTATAATGAACTGTAATTGACAACAGGTACGTCAACGATTGTGATAAAGGAAAATCATATTTGATTATGATAGTTATTTTAACATATTGGATCGTGTTAAATCGTTGTAGGTGATTGTTTACTTTTAAATTTGAAAAACTTTCCTCACGACAGTTTTATTAAGACTGGATGACTGTCTATACCATGTTCTATGACAATCCGGAGGCAAAAGACAGAGAAATGTCAACACATCTATAGGTATGTTTATTATCTATAAATATATAACAAATAAAAAACAGAAACACATATATCGTACATATTGGTCAGTTACTTATAACTGACAGAAAGGGTGGGGAATGACCCTTCCCCTTTTCATCTCAGTCTTGAAAAAATCTGTCGAATCCCCATAAATAATGTGTTTGCATAGTGAAATAGTTTGAAACACGGCGTGGGAGGATCCAAAAATATGTTTTAGGATATTTTTCCGATTTTTTTTTTACTTCCGTTTTCCCTTATTATTCTATCAACCCTACCCACACCACATTTAAAAGATGCAGATAGGACTGTTCTGCTAAAATAAAAATATCAATACATAAAAAATGTTTAAAACAAAATTACCAAACTCCAAGATAAATTCAAAAGGGGGAAGTCAAACCAAGGACTCAGTAATTAAGATGTGAACAATAACTGGTCACTGAACGACCATAAACAGCTTGATGAACATTACCCATATTATACAGTATAGTAAGCTTTAAAAGGACCCGGAATGTAAAACTACAAAAAGAGAAAACAAAATTCCTGATTTATGCTGAAACAAGAATAAGAAACAATTTCGACAGAAAGCGACCAGCCTGACTTAAGCTAGCCCCCACTATCCACTTGGGTTTGTAAGTAATGCAAGTAACGCAATTGGAATGTGTGGCTGACTTTAGTCAGACTGGAAAGCAACCACATACAATCACTTAATTTCAAGTTTCTGGTTTGAGACAGACACAAAAGATGTGGAGGCATTAAACGTGTAAAAATCGGATACGAGTTGGCAAAGGTTCGAGTTGATATGGATTCAAACTTATTTCCTGCGTTATCAATCGGCATAACTCTGGAAAGACAGAAGTTAAATTTTTGAAGTTCGGAAAACAAATCTGAATTAATTGGCCAGTTAACATATTTCCAAATTTCAATTGATTTGATAGAGGCTTACTAATTAAATGATACCGCGCGAAAATCAACAATCTGGTTAGTTTATTTCCCGCCTTATCAAGGGCATAACTCCGAAAAGACAAAAAATGAAATCGGTCAAATTTAAATTGGACCAGTGTTTATTTTGTCCGTAACAACATTTGAATTTTTCAAAGGAATTTGGTAGGGGCTAACGCTCACTTTTTAAGGCTTGGAAATTGACCAGTTTTATTTCTAGTTTAAAAGGTCAGGATCACTACATTTCCTGACGTTAGTATATATTTGTATAGTAATTTCCCAAAATAGAAGGTAAAAATGGCCTTGAAAAAAACTAACCAATGAACTACAATGCATTGTGGGCTACTACGAGTTTACTACCACTTAAAACACTTGGAATTAGTGGGATAACTTTCAACTTATATAGTGTCTGGGACTCTCATAATAAATATTTTTGTTCAGCCAATGTATTAAATGTAAAATATATAACATAATCTTTAATTTGCATGCTCAGATTAAAAAAAAAATTATTTACTGGCTACACGATTCGACTTTCTTTGTATACGACCGCAAATTTATTTGCGCCCGTACTATGTTATGGTGTTGTCTGCGTCTGCGTCTGAAAACATTTTGGTTCGCAGACAATAACTTGAGTATAATTTCTTGCATCTCTATGAAATTTTATCATAAGGTTCCATACCACTAAAAGATGGTTTGGAATGTTTTTTGGGGCTATTGTCCTAGCGGTTTTGTAATAAGGGCCAAAAAAGGTCAGTTTTACTGGTTCACAGAAAATAACTTGGTTCGCAGACAATAAATTTGGTATAAGTGTATGGATGTGTTAGAAATTTTAGCACAAGGTTCCATACCACAATAGGAGGGTTTGGATTGATTTTGGGGGTTATTGTTATAACTGTTTTGTAATTAAGGGCCAGAAAGTGTATATATCTCTGTTAAATTTTAGTACGAGGTTCCGTACCACAATAGGAAGGTTGGGATTTATTTTGGGGGTTATTGTCGTAGCTGTATAGTAATTAGGGGCCAAAAACAAGCATTTTTCATGTTTCAGGACAATAATTTGTGTAAAAGAGTATAGATTTCCATGACATTTTACCACAAGGTTCCATACGTCAAAAAGAAAGTTTTCACTGAATTTTTGGGGGTCATGGCCCAAACCGTTTAATAATTAGGGGTAGAAAAGGGGCCAAAAAACAACTATTTGTCTGGTTTGCAGGCAATAACTTGAGTATAAGTGTATGGATCTCTATTAAATTTTAGGACAAGGTTCCTTATCACAATAGAAAAGTTGGGATTTATTTAGGGGGTTATTATACTGTAGCTGTTTAGGAATAAGGGGCCAAAAAGGGCCTAGCAAAAACAATTATTTGTCTCGTTCACAGACAATAACTTTAGTATAAGTGAATGGATCTCCATTAAATTTTAGCACAAGGTTCCTTACCTCAATAGGAAGGTTGGGATTAATTTTGAGGGTTATTGTCTTAGCTGTTTAGTAATTAGGGGCCAAAAAACAATTATTTGTCTGGTTCACAGACAATAACTTTAGTATAAATGAATGGATCTCTATTAAATTTTAGCAAAAGATTCCTTACCACAATAGGAAAGTTGGGATTTATTTTGGGGGTTATTGTCGTAGCTGTTTAGTAATTAGGGGCAAAGAACGGGCCAAAGACAAGCATTTTTCATGTTTCAGGACAATAATTTGTGTATAAGAGTAAGGATATCTATGAAATTTTACTACAAGGTTTCATACTTCAAAGGAAAGTTGGGATTGATTTTGGTGGTCATGGTCCAAACCCTTTAGGGGCCGAAAAGGGGCAAAAACTAGGATTTTCTGGTTTCTGGTCAATAACTTAATTATAAGTCCATTTATTGCTATTTAATTGTACCACAAGGTGTTATATCACAAAATAAAGTTTGGAATTGATTTTAGGGGTTATGACCGTAATGGTTTAGTTAAAAGGGATCAAAAATAATTCTTTTGTAATACTTTGTATAAATTGCTTATTTCTTTAGCAATTTCAATGGGATTTAATTCAAAGTCTTGAATTCTTGCATTAGGGTTCTTTAATATGCTGAATCTAATTGGGTGTTTATTATTTGGATTTTCGGTCTGTTTTTGAATTGATCCATATAAAGGTTCAAAGGGTCCAAAATTAAACTTTATTTGATTTGGAAATAAAAATGAATGGTTGGGGATCTTTAATATACTATATCTAAACGTGCATTTAGATTTTTGATTTTGGGCACAGTATTCAAGTTGGTCCAAATTTGGGTCAAAAATTGAACTTTGTTTGATTTCATCAAAATTTGAATTATTGGTGTTATTTGATATGCCCAATGCAACAGTGTTTGTTAAATTTTTGATTTTGGGCTAGGTTTTAAAAGTTGGTCCAAATTGGGGTCCAAAATTAAACTTTGTTTGATTTCATCAAAATTAGATTATAATTGGTGTTCTCTAATGTGTGCAATCTAACAGTATTTTTAATTTTTTATGTTTGGCCCGTTTTACAAATTGGTCCACATTAAGGTCCAAAGTAACCAGAATTAAACTTAGTTTGTTTTTTACAAAAATAAGTCTTGCCAATGGGATTCTGTGATATGCTGAATCTAAGCATATAATTAAATGTTTGATTTTGGGCACAGTTTTTAAGTTGGTCCAAATCGGGGTCCAAAATTAAACTTTGTTTGATTTTACCAATATTGAATATATGGGGTTGTTTGATATGCTGAATTTAAGTGTGTATTTAGATTTTGGATTTTGAGTCCTGTTTTCAAATTGGATCACATTGAGGTCCAAAGTATCCCAAATTAAACTTTGTTGGATTTCTTCAAAAATTGAATTCTTGGAGTTCTTTGATATGCTGATTCCAAACATATATTTAGATTTTGGATATTGGACCATAATTGGTCATGTTGGTAAATGTATAATTGTAAATTATTTTAAGTACTTAGACCACATTCATTCTGTGTCAGAAACTATGCTATATCAAATACTTAATCAGAATCTAAATTTAGAAATGTATTGCGCAATTAATTTAAATTTTAAGTTAAGTCATAGTTGAAAATAGATACAGCATCATATCTAATTTTAGAGAAGAAATTATCTATAGATATAGTTTGAAATTTATTGTTCATTATTTGATATTTTGAATAATATTTATCATCTTAATAACCTAATCATAGAAGTTAAATATAAAAAAGAATGAAGGAAAGTGTATAATCTAATTCCCCTATTGAAAATTTAATTTTTCTTCCTATAAAACTACACACATTTTGTATAATAGATTTTTACAATTAACTAAATATTCACATTTGTACATATGGATTAGTACAATGTATTTAATACTAATAATTTATTCATGTTATAATTTTCATCTATTATCAAGATAACAAAACATGTGGTAATTATCAATAATAAAATTATAATTGGAATGACAGATTTATTTGAAAATTTTGTGTTTCCTAAGTGTTGTTGATGATAAGCTCTGTCGGAAAATAAATATAGTTTGAAATTTACTGTTCATTATTAAATATTTTGAAGATAATTACAGATAAGTTTTATGTATTTTTAAAGACATTGTATTAATGATAAATTATATTTTGGAAATAGTTTTTGTCCCCCGCGCAACACGTTGGAGAGGGGGGGGGATAGAAATACCGTTCGTCCATCCGTTCGTCCGTTCATCCGTGCGTCCTTCATTCTGGTCTTGTTAGCACTCTCACGTGTACAATTCTTGCCAGATTTTTGTGAAACTTATATCATAGGTTTTATATATGAGCAATGTCATGGACGAGTTTGAAAATCAGTGCTGATCAATTATTTGTAAAAGAGTTATGTCCCTTTGAAACATTAATTTTATGGAAAATTGCATCGTTAGCGCTCTCATTTGTTGAATTCTTGCCAGAATTTTATGAAACATATATCATAGGTTTATATTAGCAATGTCTTGGACGAGTTCAACAATTAGTGCCGATCAATTATTTTTAAAAGAGTTATGCCCCTTGGAACATTAATTATTTTCAATATTTAAGCTTGATACAGGTCTGAATTTGGGTTGTAATTCAATATTTGACATATTATAGGTTTCTAAATAAATGTAGTCAAAGAACTTGAAATTGGTTATATGATTTAAATTTATATTCAATTAAAGATTTCTTGCTGTTGTGCAATACACTGTGCTGTTGCGCAATACTTAGTAAATCTGTTGTCAGACTATAGACAAATAAAGTTCAATTTCTTCTCAATGTCATATTTGAAATTTATGAAAATCAATAGGGAGATTACATCAATAGCTATAAATAATTCACCAAAGTTTCATGAGAACTGCTGAAAGCATTTTTTAGTTATTATCCGAAAACTGGAAAATCCCCCTTTTTATGCCCCCGCCGTATCGGAGGGGACATTAATTTTTACCCTTGTCCGTCTTTTCGAACGTACGTCCGTCCGTACGTCCCAAAATTGATTTCCATTCTCTAACTTGAGTTTGCTTCAACCAAATGTTATGAAACTTGTACACAATGCTTATTACCACAAAACACAGATCAAGTTTGAATTTTGGTGGTGTCACTTTAACCGTTCTAGAGTAATCCCCCTTTATGAATGGAAAAATTGCAAAATTTTTAGTTTCCGTTCTCTAACGTACGTTTGCCTCAACCAAATGTTATGAAACTTATACACAATACTTATTACCACAAAATACAGATCAAGTTTGAATTTTGGTGGTGTCACTTTTACCGTTCTAGAGTTATGCCCCTTTATGAATGGAAAAATTGAAAAATTTTTAGTTTCCGTTCTCTAACGTACGTTTGCCTCAACCAAATGTTATGAAACTTATACACAATACTTATTACCACAAAATACAGATCAAGTTTGAATTTTGGTGGGGTCACTTTAACCATTCACGAGTTATGCCTCTTTATAAATGGAAAACAATGCAACATTTTTAGTTTCTGTTCTCTAACTTGAGTTGCCTCAACCAAATGTTATGAAACTTATACACAATGCTTTTTACCACAAAAACAGATCAAGTTGAATTTTGGTGGCGACACTTTAATCATAATCGAGTTATGCCCCTTTAAAAATCGACAAACTGCAAAATTTTTAGTTTCCGTTCTGCGACTTAAGTTTGTCCCGACCAAACATTATGAGACCTATACACAAAACTTATTACCACAAAACTCAGATCAAGTACAAATTTGGGTAGCGTCACTTTTATCGTCCTTGAGTTTTGTCCCTTTATAATGTTGTATGCAAGCGGGGGCATCATCTGTGTCCATGGGGACACATTCTCCATTTATTTTATGAATAAAACCCTGTAACTCGGAAACGTTAAATCTAAAATTTATATAAAAGTCCAAAAGGAAGCTCATGTCAATAGATATAAACAATTCACCAAATTTTTTTGCAAGTTGGTGAAAGCATTCTTGAGTTATTGTCGGAAAACTGGAAAATACCCCCTTTTTTAATGAATAAAACCCCAAAACTCGGAAACGGTAAAAACGGTAAATCTGAAATTTATAAAAAACGAAAGGGAGCTCACGTCAATAGATATAAACAATTCACCAAAGTTTCATGCATATTGGTTACAGTTTTTTTTGAGTTAAATGTCCGACATGTTGACGACGAACAGACGGACAGACGGACAGACAGACGGACGGACAGACGGTCAACGGTATACCATAATACGTCCCGTAAACGGGCGTATAAAAAGGGGGGATTTTCCACTTTTCTAACAATAACTCAAGAATGCTTTCACCAACTTGCAAGGAGTTTTGGTGAATTGTTTATATCTATTGACATGAGCTCCCTTTCGATTTTTATAAATTTTAGATTTTACGTTTCCGAGTTACAGGGTTTTATTCATAAAAAAGGGTGATTTTCCAGTTTTCGGACACTAACTAAAAAATGCTTTCAGCAGTTCTCATGAAACTTTGGTGAATTGTTTATATCTGTTGATGTAAGCTCCCTTTAGAATTTTATAAATTTTAGATTTTACATTTCCGAGTTATGGGGTTTTATTCATTAAAAAAGGGGGGATTTTCCAGTTTTTGGACAATAACTCAAAAATGCTTTCAGCAGTTCTCATGAAAATTTGGTGAATTATTTATAGCTATTGATGTAATCTCCCTATTGATTTTCATAAATTTCAAATATGACATTGAGAAGAAATTGATCTTTATTTGTTTATAGTCTGACAACAGAATTACTAAGTATTGCACAACAGCAAGAAATCTTTAATTGAATATAAATTCAATTCATATTACCAATTTCAAGTTCTTTGACTACATTTATTCAGAAACCTATAATATGTCAAATATTTAATTACAATCCAAATTCAGACCTGTATCAAGCTTGAATATTGTGTCCATTTTTGACCCAACTGTTCAGGGTTGGACCTCTGCGGGCGTATCCAGCTGTGCTCAGCGAAACAGTTTATTTAGTTATTGCCTTTTGTACCTAGGATAGATAAAATATGTGCAACGCGGGGAACATTGGAACTCTGTTCTATTATTTTTTTATTTTTGTTTTGGTAAATTGTTTGAAGAATTGTGTGGTAGGTTTGTTTGTTATTCTGTATAAACTAATTTTCTGAATGCTATATATAAATATATTTTTTTTTATGAAGCGAATTCCTTTAAAAACTAAGCTTATATTGTGTATTATAATAAACATGTATTTAGATTTTTGATTTTGGGCCCAGTTTTCAAGTTGGTCAAAATCGGGGTCCAAAATTAAACTTTGTTTGATTTCAACAAAAGTTGAACATATAGGGTTCTTTGAAATGCTGAATCTAACCGTGTTATTAGATTTTAGGTTTTGGGCTCCGTTATTAAATTGGTCCACCATGATGTCCAAAGGTCCCTAAAATAAACTTTGTTTGATTTCATCAAAACTTTTCATTACTTTGACCACATTCATTTTGTGTCACAAACCTATGCTGTGTCAAATATTCAATCACAATCCAAATTCAGAGCTGTTTTAACCTTAAATGTTGTGTCCAGGCAATGTTCGAGTCTTTGGTTTTGCACGTCCGAGGATCGAACCAACGACCCCCCCCCCCCCCCCCCCCCCCCCTTTCCCCCGGACTAGGGGCGTAGGAGCTACCACGAGACCACCGAGGCAGTTGCGACAGTAGAGAGATTTAGCGAAAGACTTAATAAATCTTCTTCAATCTTATACTTTAAAAAAGCAATGGAGCAATTAAAATTAAAAGTATGATAATTGTTTTATGAAGATGTATATAACGTATGTATTACAGTTTCAGACTAGAAACCGAAGTTGGCTACAGAATAGAAGAAGTAATATGGCTGAAGCCGCAAGGTATTTTAGCCAGATGTTTATATTTAATACACTTTTGAAAGAAAATACTAGCTTTGAAATCCTGCTGCTCTCTTTATTCTTTTCTGAGGACACTCTTTCTAGTATGATTTTTATAAATGTTTATCATATTATATTTATATAGTTGCATTTAAGGTGTACCGTCATAGTACAATAACATAGGTATTGCATAAACTTACACAAAACACAGTCGATTAATATGTACATATGTTTTAATCTCTGGTTAGTTAATTCATAAAAATATTGGTTGTCATGTTCGATTCTGGTAAAAAGACGGGTATTATCCCATCCATTTATAAAACTTATATTCAGAGAAACTCCAAGATAGGTGCTTAGTTTGTATTAGAATGTAGACTTTAAGCACACAATTAAGACACTTTTTTTTTTTAGATATTCACCATTTCGGTCTATCTATACAAATTAATTTTTATAAATTAATAGTTATATTTACATACCCAATGAATTTATGCTTTATCACCACTGCATGTATGGTATCCTGTTTTGGTTCAAGAAAGTCTCTGGATTTTTTTGGATCTTTGTTTACATTGAATTGATTACAAATAATGTGTCGAGCATTTATAACTTTATCATATCTTCTTTTAAATATTTCAAATTGAACTGAATTATCATAATCTTTAATGACCTTTCCAAGTGTTTAAAATATCCTGGCTTTTCCTATACTTTCTTGCATGTTGTTTCACCACAATACTGGATGAATAATAATTGTCGGAATTTTGGAGATTTCGTTGACTCTATGACAGAAAGTGAAAGTGAATTGAGATACTTTAATAAAAGTTAATAAGATGATGTATCAATTTACACATAGTATCGATTGAACTATCTATCAATTATTGTGAAGGTAATAGGGTTATCCCGACCTTGACCTCATTTTCAGGTTGATTAATCAGTATCAAGTTTCATGATACATGTAGTACAACCTTTTCTAATATCTGCAATCTTCAGGGGACCCAACACAGTTTCAAGGGAGTTTAAAACGGGATATCGAATCCTTATTTTTACGGTGATGTAGTTTATAAAGCCCGTAAATGTAGGCACGATCCATGTTAACTTATTGGTCCTTTGTATACATTTATTCTTAAAGGTTATCAATTTAATATAGTAGTAATATTGTTTTTTATCGGTACCACACATTGATTTTGATTTTGAAAAATTAAAACATAACTAAATATGTATTGCCGCAGTATATATGTACAGTTATGCGAACTCGTGATCCTACATCTTGTCGGTACTGTTTACTTATATTTTGACATTGCACAAGATCATGCCTTTCTCAGACTGTTAATGACGTCTTTAACTAAATCCGTTGGATGTTTACTGATTGATACTTAAGTCTGGGAGACTATGATTTATTTGTTAACGGTTTTGATTGGCTTTGAAGAAGCAGTAACTGCGAGAACTCTTGTTTCGGTGCTTTTTTCTATTGTTTTATGTTATCGGTTTTTGTGATCTTTTGAGTTACAAACATGTTTAACCCCGCCACATTCTTTAAGGTACCGTCCTAAGTCTTAAGTTAGCAAGTAAAATTAGTAAATGTAAAAAAAAAAAGAACGAATGATACAATAAATGCAGGAAGACAGGAAAAGAATATAAAAACACTAGTACAAGCCTATAATAGTGCTATAAATATTCTCTACGCCTTCTATAAAAGGAATGATAATGTATAGTTAGATAAAAAAAGAGAATTTGAATTTGTATTTCCCTCTTCAAGAAAATATAAATATAGTGCTTATAATTATTATCGTGAAAAAACCCAAACCAAAGCGGAATAGTTTGTAAGACAATAATTCATTAATCTTGTTTGAATGATCTTTGTTCGTTTTAACTACTGATAAATGTATTAACACATTTACTTCTCGTGTTGTTTCTTATTTTCTTTAAAAAATATCAATGCTAATTCTAGAATAGTACAGTTTGTAGTTTAGAATAATCATGAAACGACAAGGTAAGTTGGAAAGTACAAGCAGAAATGTGAATCCATAACCTTGCAAGGAAAATTGGCGGGAGACGTCGAAATTGTCAACCAGCGACTTCGTGCATTTTCGCGCTTACGTCGAGGTTTCCAAGTGGGACCTTTTTTTTTTAAATTACTGCAACTATTTCTGAATCCAGCACGGTGACAAATATGTTTTATTTGCTTTTTTTGAGAAAGCATAACAAAAGGCAGTTCATATAGAAAAATGACATTGTAAGAACCGCACGATTTTCGCATTTCAAAGTTAAAGAAAAAAATGCTCGTTGAGCATCTTATTCGTGATTTCAAGCATGTCTTGAATAATAAACTAAGCACTCTCATTTGAATTTGTTCCCTTATTTTCACTTATTACAGCTTCAAAATGGATCCAATCTTATTTATTTATGACGAAGAATTTCCCGAAAACTAGCACGGTAACGAATGCTTTATTTGGTATTATAGACCTACAACATATTTCAAAATAATAAAAATGACAATATAACGTGAAACTGTAATTTCAGTGCACTACTTGCATTTTTCAAAGGTTTACTGTAATATTTTATTACTGAAACAAAATACGGTTTAAGTATACATCTATGAGACAGGAACCAAACTACATCAAAACAAAAGTAAAATTTTTAAAATATCCCCCTCTTTTTTTGTAATTAAGATTTAGATACAGAATGGGTTAAAATTTTATACATAAATAGCTTTGTTAAGTTCCATAGACTCCGAAAAAAGCCTTAAAAATATCTAAAACAAAATTTTTAAAATACATTGTTTGTCTTTTTTCGTATTATCATGACTTAATTTTTTGGCAGTTTAAAATTACATGCAGTCTCGGGTTATTTTTAAGACATCGGTAAACTTAGTCAATCCTCCACAGAATGGTATACAATTTAGATAGAAGCTTCTTCATGCTCAAGAAATAGCATCTGAAGATATTTTTTTTTATTTTTCCGATTTTTTTCTCTAGTAAATGGACTTGATATTTTTGTATTCAACATTAACTTTTTCCACTGAAGGCAGAAATCGCAAATGAGACACAGGGTTCCGTGAAACCCATCGTCTTTTTTTCTATCGATCTTGCATAAGGCTGAACAAAATGTATGCCTGAATTGTTTGCTCCTCAATTTTTTAAAGGGAGAATATCGTTTATGCTTTGTCCGTCCGTCCGCCCGTTCTGTTCTTGGGTCCGAACAAATGCTTTCGGATGAAATCTTGACTTACAGCTTAATAAAAAAAAAACTTTATACCATTGAAAAATATGGTGAATTGGAAGACGTTCATGGTCGCAATTAGAAAAAATATAAACTTTGAAACATGCTTTCCGGATGAAATCTTAAGTTCCCTTGAACGAAACTTATACCTGTGAATGATATAGGGAAATTGAAGGTGCCTATTATTTTGAGGTCATTGAGCCACTTGTTGGATTTTAATCAAACGGTAAATAGTAGGAATGGACAAAGCTTTTTGAATTAACATATTTAACTTAGTTAATTACGACGATCGTTTTTTTATTATCATGACAAACAAAAGGAGATGCGGGTATAACTAGTGAGACTGCAACCCAAGAGACTGTTGTGTGTAAGAAATAAAAAAACAAAAAACAAATCGGATATAGTCCTAATAAGGACAAATGTAAAATACAGGTTTTATTAAATTTCGTCTTTAGAATTTCAAAACTTTAATATAACAACCAAACTTTAATATGGCATATATAAAGTATGTTTTTGTGCAAACTGTTCTTTCATAAAACAAAATTTCCGTATGGATATGTTATTGTTGTCATCCTTTCTTTTGTTAAAATCATTGCTCCCTTTACGCTAACTTTTTTAAAAGTTTTAACAAATTTGATTAACTATTGTACGAAGTTTATTTGTATATATGGATGTGTCTTTGTTGTCATCTGTCTGTAGGTACAATCGTTGAATCTGGATGACCCAGTAGATAATAAACAATCTGTAAGAAAAAAAAACCAATTATTTCTGGTACGCGCGTTTTGAGACAAAAGCTTTGTTGATGAAAATGCAAGTTCCTTTTTTCCATCTTTCCATATTATTTAGGCGCAGCTATAAGAAGTTTGTTAAATATATTTGAAATATCTATTACAAACTATAAAATGTAAACCCAGTATCACAACCTGTTGCTTATCCTTGAAGTCTGATTTAGAAAAAAAAAGAAAACAAAAACAAACTTAAAATGTGTTTGTCATTGTTATATCTAAAAATAGGAAGATGTGGTATGATTGCCAATGAGACAACTCTCCACAAGAGACCAAATGACACAGAAATTAACAACTATAGGTCACCGTACGGCCTTCAACAATGAATAAAACCCATAACGCATAACCAGCTATAAAAGGCCCCGAAATGACAAATGTAAAATAATTCAATCGAGAAAACTAACGGCCTGATTCATGTGCAAAATAGTGAACGAAAAACAAATATGATATACAGCAACAAACGACAACCACTGAACTACAGGCTCCTGACTTGGGACAGGCACATATAGAATGTGGCGGGGTTAAACTAGTTTGAAGGCGCGTCAACCCTCCCCTAACCTGGGACAGTGGTTTTACAGTACAACATAAGAACAAACGATAAGAATCAGATGAAAAGGGCTTAACTCATCAGATCGATACAAAGCAGAAAAACACAGAGTGGGCGTGGCAGGGTAATATGTTTGTATTGTTTATTGTTTTTTTTTTGTTTTTAGTAGCAATTCTATTGTGAGAATTTTACTCTTATCGAATATCATTTCTGATCTTATTGTAGGGACCGTGGAAGAGGAAGAGGGGGTGGACGTGGTCGTGGAGTACCTAAGCATCAACATGAAACACTGGAAGATGTGCCATGGAAACGTCTGCTTGGATTCAGAAAACTAGAGGAATTACAGGGAAGGGACGCAAATGCAATATTGTTAACTTTTGATAGATACAAAAATGCACTTAAGAAAGCACTAGAGCAAACGACCGTTAAAGGAAATAAGGAAATGTTTATGCTGCTGGTACGATGTCTCGCTAAGTGCTGCGAATGTGAATCTTTACCGCAACAAGTTATAGACATTTTCACGGTTGTAGAAAGCTCAAGTTTTCTATATGAGTTCATGAAGTTTGTTAAAGGATTAGTTGTGAACACAACTCCAAGAGCACAAATTGAAAGTAGGGAAATTTTACGTGATATCTTTACAATTCTCACAAAGTTGAATTCATTATTGCCCAAATCTCGCATTATAATTCAAGGAATTTTAGCTTTCATTGACACCCCGATCAATGTAATTAAATCCGATACAACCATTATAGATGATGATATGTGGAGTATGTATGAAGAACTCATGAACAGAGAAGACACAACACGACACAAAAGATCACGTCTCAAAGACCAAGGTGACGACGAAAGCGAAGAAGAACCAGATGATGATTTTCGTGATTATCCTGTTTTTCCGACTACAGAAGAAGTGCAATCAGAAACTCTTTCGAAGTTACGTCACAACAAAACATTCGGAGGTTATGACAATCTAGATCATTATTTAGACATTCAGTACCGTCTTTTGCGTGAGGATTTTATTGCACCGTTACGTGATGGTATCAGAGAATATATGGCTGCTGTGCACGACATGAGACCAGACAAGAAATTACACGAATTAAGAATTTATCGTGACGTTCAAATTATAAGTCCAATATGTAATAATCATGGTTTATGTCGGCGTATAAGCTTTAATTATCCAGGAATGAACAGAATACGCTGGGAACAAAGTAAACACCTGATCTATGGGTCATTGGTTTGTTTATCTTCTGACACCTTCAAAACTGTCTGGTTTGCAACAGTTGCCAATAGAGATTTGAAGAATGTCCGCAAAGGAATAATTGATATTAAATTTGAAAAAGATTATGAAGACGTGTCAACTATTCCACCAGATACAGTCTTCGTTATGGCAGAAACCACAGCATATTTCGAAGCTTACAGACACGTACTCATTGGTTTACAAAATGTACACGAAGGAGATTTGCCATTTGAGAAATATATTGTCAAATGTCTGCCTAATGTTGAAAAACCAGCATACTTACGGCGTAGCCCCGATGCCAAATTCGACTTACGTCCGTTAGTAGACGACGACATTATGTTGGATGATAGGAAACATGATGAACCGACCAAAGCATATTCTTTCAGTGAAAAATCCGAAGATGCACGAAATATAAAGGTTACAGATCAAACATCATGGCCTCCTCCTGAACTACTACATCTAGATATATCTCAACTTAGAGCATTAGAAACGGCTCTATCTAAAGAGCTGGCTATAATACAGGGACCCCCTGGAACTGGAAAAACATATATTGGACACAAAATTATAAAAAGTCTACTACATAATCGACATATTTGGAATACGGATCCAGATACGGGAGCAGAAGATAACCGTCCAATCCTCGTTGTCTGTTATACTAACCACGCCCTAGACCAGTTTCTTGAAGGTATAGTACAATGCTACAGTGGTGAAGTTTTACGACTAGGCAGCAGAAGTTCAAGCGAAATAATGAAGCCCTTAAGTATAAATAGTAAAAGAATGACAATGCGATTAAATAGGGAGGTACCTCTTGAAATTCACTCCAGTAAAATGGAAATTAAACACAACATGAGCTCTCTACAAGAAGAGGTCAACAACATTGCTGATCGAATTGAAAAAGCAAAAAGAGAAATTTTACACGAGGACGCAATTAAACATGTAATGGGGGATTTTTATGAAAAACTCGTATCTAGGTATGAGGCAATCATGCGCGATATGTATGGCTACGATTTTCAGTGGGAGAAACCAAAGAAAGCCTCGGCATTACTGGAATGGCTTGGTTATGGGGAATTTTTAGGATTCGAACCTAAATTTGAAGATGAGGCGAAAGCTAGTGAAGAAAAAAAACACCAAGCTGGTGCTGTTCAAGAAACAGAGGATGATAGAGAAAACGAAAGAGCAGAAAACCGTAATGAAAATGAAAATAGACCAAATGATTTCATCAACGTACTTGACGAAAGGGATGTTGAAATAGCCCAAAGACAGATTGCTATGGAAGAATCCGACGAGGAAGATGAATCATTTGAAGATAGATTCAATAAAATATTGAGAGAAAATATCCCATTGGTTGCCTTAGATGTATCAGAGTTAGATCTTTATTTTAGAAGACCCGAAGGAGAGGGATTTCGTTGGCAGAAACCAAAAAAGAAAAATAAACAACTAAAGAGTAAAATTAGGAAGTCTCTGTCATCAACCGATCGTATGATAGATATCGAAATTGAAGGATTTGTTGATGATATGTGGGCTCTACTGCCTGAAGAAAGATGGCGTATGTATCGATATTGGTTGAAAGTCTATTGTGACAATGTGCAAGAAAAAATTGGCGATAAAGAAATTGAATTCGAGCGAACATGTAGAAAGTATCATGAAATACTGATGCAAGAGGATAAAGCTATTATGAAAAATTCAACAATTATTGGTATGACCACGACTTGTGCAGCCAGATATAATTCTGTATTGCAGGAAATAGGACCACGAATCATTATTGTGGAAGAGGCAGCAGAGGTGCTCGAAGGACACGTGATTACAACCCTCAGTAGACGATGTGAACATTTGATTTTGATTGGTGATCACCAACAACTTAAACCAAAACCAACAGTTTACAAATTGGCTCGTGAATACAAACTTGATTTGTCGCTTTTTGAAAGATTAGCCAACAATAAACTTGATGTGCAGTGTCTTGCTCTTCAACATAGAATGCGTCCAAAAATATCTAAAATGATGAAGATCATATATCCTAACCTGAAAGATCATGAGGTCGTTGAAACCTATGACAGAATTCGTGGCATAGCTGAAGACGTATATTTTATCGATCATATGGAAACGGAATCTCCTGAAAAGGATCTCAGAAGCCATTCAAATAAACATGAAGCGGAGTATTTGGTTGAGCTATGCAGATATCTCCTTTTACAGGGTTATTCACCATCACAAATTACAGTATTAACAACATATTCAGGCCAACTTTTTGAGCTGAAATATAGAATGCCCAAAGCAGAGTTTGAAGGAGTTCGTGTAACAGTAGTTGACAATTACCAGGGAGAAGAAAATAACATAATTTTGCTTTCTCTTGTACGTAGCAATGAAGATGGAACAATTGGGTTTCTGAAGGAAGACAATCGAGTTTGCGTAGCAATGTCACGTGCAAAGAAAGGTCTTTACGTTATTGGTAATTTTGAAATGCTGTCAAGCAAGAGCACTTTATGGAGAAAATTTGTTGATCATGCGAGGAAAAACAGATTCTTTGGAAAAAAACTTCGTCTATATTGCGAAAATCACCAGGATGCCGACGACTCTATAGTAAATGCAGAATTTCCTTCAGATTTCAAGCGATCGCCTGGCGGCGGATGTAGACGTCCGTGCGAATATCGTCTTACATGTGGGCACACGTGTCCAAGTGTTTGTCACATCAAAGATCGTGAACACAAGGACATCCTATGTAAAAAATCGTGTACTAAAACGTGTAGTAGGGGGCACAGGTGTCCACTGAAATGTAATCAGGATTGTGCAACATGTGAGGTCAGTGTACCAAAGCGTTTGCCGAAATGTGGACATACACAGAATGTTCCGTGTTATCTAGAACCAGTAAACTTTAAATGCGAGGCAAGATGTGTTAAAAGCCTTCCGTGTGGTCATGATTGTCAAAATCTGTGTGGAGATATACATACCGACAAGTGTGCCATGTTAGTAGAGAAACTTGGCCAGTGTAACCATTCAACAAGAATCCCTTGTCACTTACTGAAGACAAAACAAGCATTTTGCCCAGAGCCTTGTGTGGAAATTTTACAATGTGAACATAAATGTAAGGGATCATGCGGTGAGTGCCAGAATGGACGTCTTCACAAAACTTGTGAAGAAGTATGCAACAGAATATTGATATGCGAGCATATATGCAATGAAAAATGCAATAACTGTCCTCCTTGTAAAGAAAAGTGCAAAAATCGATGCAAACACAACTATTGCGGTAAGCAATGTGGAGAGGAGTGTAGCCCATGCGCCGAAAATTGCGAATGGCAATGTGAACATCACAGATGTGATCAGATTTGTAGTTCTCCTTGCGAAAGACCGAGATGCAACCAACCGTGCAAGAAACGTATTCCTGTATGTCAACATCATTGTTTGGGATTATGCGGTGAACCATGCCCAAAAGTATGTCGGATCTGTGAACCTGAGAATGAAGCATTTATAAGTTTTTTCGGAACAGAAGATGAAACCGATGCAAAATTTGTGCAGCTTGAAGACTGTGGACATGTTATTGAAGCAACTGGTTTGGATAAATGGATGGATGAAATAAAAGACGAGCAAATCAAATTGAAAGAGTGTCCAAAATGTAAAACTCCCATTCGACGAAATCTCAGATACGGAAATATCATAAAAGAAACTTTGCACAATATTGAAGTAGTAAAACAACGTATTCTAGGAAGTAAATCGGAAATGGAAGCCACAGAAAAGACGATACGACAGGAATTGTCAGAATTTGAGAAAACAGATGCTAGGAAAATGAAACAGATTCATAATGAACTAACAACAGGAGCCGTAGACGAGAACACACTGAAAACAATTGTTGAACAAATAAAGATTTTGAAATATGTGAATGAGTTGAAAGAGAAGTTTGAAACAAATGAAGGGAGGTCAGATCAATATGAGGCAATGTATCAAAAAGCATTGGGTCAGCTGAATGCATTACATGAATTTATTCTGATTCGTCGAAGATTTTTCACGCAACAAGAATCCCTTGACATCGAAAGTGAACTTGATCGTCTTAAACTACTATACCAATTAATGCGGTTCAAAGAAAGGAAGGCCATTATTGGAACAACCTTGACAAGAGCGTTAAGTGTTGATCTAAGGGTAGCTGAACAACATTTGACTGACGGGAGAAGGCTGACGATACAGAGGCGACGTGAGGTGGAGACGATTTTGTCAGCTTTAAAAGATGTGATACCTCTGACTGTGATCGGTATATCAGAAGAGGAAAGGGTTCAAATTGTTACCGCTATGGGGTTGACGAAAGGTCATTGGTTCAAATGTAAAATGGGTAAGTCATTTTCACATGTTTATTAAGATAAACGCACACAGCTTCACTTACATTTGTAACACACAAGGGAGTACCATTTAATAGAACTGTAAATGTTATTCCTCAAACACTAAAACATGGTCGAATGTGAAAATGTGAAATAAAAATATAGGTTTTTTTTTCAGAACAAAGGATATTCAAGACCTTTACCAATAGAAACAATAACAAGACAAAAAAAAACATTCAAAATGAACAAAAAAACATTAATACTATAATTTATATAAGTAAATTCAAAATCACCAATTGCCTCAGATTAACGTATTTTTCGCCGGATAAGAACGAATAGAAATATTTTTCCACAACTCTCTATTTATGCTTCTAGGAAGTTTGGTGAAGAGTTCCAATTTAGTTTCAGGTTTAACAAATCGAAATTTTAATAACCATAGGGTTCAATGGCACCTACAGTCCATCGTTACCGCCATTATACATAGTAAACGTGAAACATAACGAATGTTTTTGATATACATTTTTGTTATTTAATATACCATTCGATTATTGCTCACTTATGAAATTTCTTCTTCTACTGATTGATGTATTTCAGGGCATGTTTATGCAATTGGCGATTGTGGCGGAGCAACAGAAGAATCAAGATGTCCCGAATGTAAATCTGGAATAGGAGGAACACAGCACAGAGTTAGAGATGACAATGCTTTAGCTCCTGAAATGGACGGAGCGGCACATGCAGCATGGTCGACTCAAGCAGATCTGGGAAATAATGACCCATTTGAAGTTCGATTTCATTAATAACTATGGACATACATTTTTTTTTAAATTAAATATATGCATGCAATGCAAGTATTTTTAGTTATAGACAATTTCTGAGGAAACAATAATATTTGCATGATAGTTTTGTTATTAACTGCTAAGTGATACACAATATATATATATGTATTATATTTTCCTTCGAGTTTATATGATCCGTTCATCCTATTTTGACTCCTCAAAATTCAAGAGTCTATCCTAAATTGAGGTAAATTGTATGGCTTTCCAAATACCGTTTCGATTCCTAACATTACTGAAGAGACATTAATTGTCGAAATCCGGATATGGTGTACAAAAACCTTTGCACCATTTGTTTGCGGTATACCGTCTTTTCCGCAAGTTTATTGTTTTCTGTTTAGTATTAAATTTATAATTAAGATCCATTTATTACATCGGTGATCCGTTTATTTGGCAATCGCCAAAGGCAGTCAGCAGGGTTTAAGAACATTTGTTGATCGACCTGTTAGTCAAATGCGTTTTGTTAAAATATACTTTTTCACTTTTTTGGTCTTTTTGGAAAATGTTGTTTGTGCTGTATTTAGACCCCTCTAACAAGAAATTTGTTTTGCATGCAGACGTATAAAAATTGCGGTTTTTATCCAACGCAACAAGTCTAAATTTAAAGTCTAAATTGAAAACTACGTTCAAACCTATGATTGCGTTGGATAAAAACCGCAATTTTTATACGTGTGCATGCAAAACAAATTTCTTGTTAGAGGGGTCTAAATACAGCACATACATACAAATAAAATTGCGATAGGTCATTTGATTATGAAAAAAACCATCAGATCTTTAGGGCGTGCATTAAACCCAAATATACGGTTTACATGCCGTCAAACTACATTATATTCAATTCGATATATAATTATCATTAAATGTGTTCTTCCAATTTGGTTGGCAAGTCTATGTTGTAAATTGTTCTTAGTTAGGCTTTTAACACACTGTTAATAATCATTCTGAACTTTTGTATGGGATTTCAATATATATTTGATAAGTATACAGAAATCAATTCGAAGAAAAAAAAGAAAGGCACAAAAAAAATCATAAACATACTTTATATGAAATACTTATTTTCTATGTAGTCATTGTATAAAAATATGCCTCTATTTTAAGATTTCATTCAATTTAAACTTGCCGAATTTTTCAGAATTGTAGTGTTGAGCTATCTTTAAGCATTTATAGTTAAATGAAATAATGTTCAATTGTGATGTAATGTTACAACATGCAAACTCTCCTTGTTCATGGAGGAATAAAGATTAATTTATTCTTCCACACACTGAGATGACTAAGGAATATACTGCGCTTAAATGTCTTTCTTCAACAGAAAATGTCACAATATCACGGTAGGTATAGTGTCCGGCTAGGATCGTGGTTTTTCGAGTGAATCTGTCCATTTTTTTCGAGTGTAGATCGGGCTTTTTCGAGTGACAAAACATGCGATCAGGTCAATTAACTACTAATTCGTAATTATAATAATTTTTTACGTGACTACCCATCTAATTTTGAATACTATACATGTTTTGAGTAACAAAGAAGTACAATTTCCTTGTATTTAACCATTAAATTCAGTGTTTGTTATTGTCCGGGCTTTTTCGAGAGGAACTGTGAAACCGTCCGGGTTTTTAAACAAATGGTCCGGGTTTTTAAACGAAAATTTTAATAAGAAAAAAGTTATTTCTGACTTTAAAAAATGACTTTCCTAGTATATAAATGTAATTTGATGAATGAAAATATCATTATATTCTCAATAAATCACCAAAACATATTACTACGTTGATCAAAATTAACCTTTTTCAATTTAATGCAAGTTTTCTGTTCGGAAAACGTTCTACCACAACTTTCCAGTATTAAATTAGAAATTATTGGACCCTTTATAAAAAGGTCTTAAGGACATAGTGCAGGAGACTCATAATCTTTTTAACTTCATTTTATGGTATTTTTGTTGTCACAGTTAATAATATTTTTCGTGGTGAACCCCGGAGCTTTTATACGGTACGTATTATGGTATACCGTTGTCCGTCCGTTGTCAGCATGTCGGAAAAAACTCAAAAACGCTGTAACCAATTTACATGAAAATTCGTTGAATTTTTATTATCTATTGAGAGATCCTCCCTTTCGAATTTTATAAATTTTAGATTTTACGTTTTCGAGTTATAGGATTTTATTAAACAAACTAGAGGCTCTAAAGAGCCTGTGTCGCTCACCTTGGTCTATGTGCTGCAGTGCATATTAAACAATGGACACTCTTCTACATTAAAGACAAGAATATAATTTGTGACAAAATTCTCTGTTTTGGTGATGGTGACTTGTTTGTAGATCTTACTTTACTGAACTTTCTTGCTGTTTACAGTTATCTCTATCTATAATGAACTTGTTCTATAAGTATCAGAGGAGAATATTTCTGTAAAAAAATGTTTGCGTTGCACATGATCCGCTATCCTTAACATTAACATACAGTTATTAAGCTGCTCAGACTGTGATCTGTTCAACAGCAATTAAAACTCTAGACGTATATATCTGAGCATCACGGGACGACACAATGTAAAAGTTATCGGACGGTGACGAACAACGACGGACGCCAAGTGATGAAAAAGTTCACTTGACCCTTTAGGGCCAGGTGAGCTAAAAAGGGGTGATTTTACAGTTTTCGGACAATATTTTTAAAGTGCTTTGAGGAGTTTTCATGAAACTTTAGTGACTGCTTTATATAGATTAAGATTACCTCCCTTTTAGTTTTTTTTTTATAAATTTTTGATATGACATTGAGAAATTATTTATAGGTTTCATAACGAGTGATAATGGATATCGCTTGATATCAACTCGAGTTATTTAATTTCAATATAATATCAAACGATGCTCTGGCGAGTTTATTATTACTATTTGAATTAAATAACGAGAGGAAATTACTTACTTACTTACTCACTTGAATCATAGATATAATAGCCTGGCTGTTGTACTGTTACACCACTGTCCCAGGTTAGGGGGAGGGTTGTGATCCCGCTAACATGTTAAACCCGCCACGTTCTGTATGTATGTGCCTGTCCCAAGTCAGGAGCCTGTTATTAAGTGGTTGTCGTTTGTTTTTGTACATATTTGTTTTTCGTTTATTTTTTTTACATAAATTAGGCCGTTAGCTTTCTCGTTTGAATTGTTTTACATTTGTCATTTCGAGGCCTTTTATAGCTGACTATTCGGTATGGGCTTTGCTCATTGTTGAAGGCCGTACGGTGAGCTATAGTTGTTAATTTTTGTGTCATTTGGTCTCTTGTGGAGAGTTGTCTCATTAACTTCTTTTTTTATATGTAATTAAAAATATTCTACTAAAAGACATTTAATCCGACCAGTTTTTATTCCCGTTGACAATAACATCTGAATTAAATTTCATATATAGTTAACAATGAAATGAATTATTCATCAGCTTAATTCACTCTTTGTACGAACGTCTCAATCCAAATTGTCTATGCTTACATTAGATTGTTGACATCATGAATATATACTGTACATGTAATTTATTAGATGTGACAAACAACAATATATACAGATGGCTGATACTTGTTTATAAAGTCTAAGTGTTAGTACACCTTTATTAAACTGATGAATGCATTGGTTTCGTGCCTTAAAAAGTACATAATTTGAACCCTTTTTTTATTGTTTTAAACGTAAATACACTGACACACAACATTCTAAGCTATAGGAAATTTGTATAATCACTCGATAAAACACGGACGCACTCGAAAAAGCCCGGACTGCTCACGAAAAAACCCGAACACATAGAAATGAATTTAGTCTCAAAATATCGTTTTCCAATGCAACAACATCAATTTTTGTAAAGTGTCTGTATATCTAAGGATATATGGATTCCATGTATGCATTTCCATCGACGTTTGCATTGGTATGTGTATAAAAATTGTTTTTTTCTGTTTTTTGGAATAAAAGCATTGTTAGGCTAAATTCAACTTTTTGAACGAAAAATTAATGTCGGATTGATAATATCTTTTTATCTCAAATACTAACACACCTTGTATATCCTTGTATATTAAACTCAAGCTTCTATATCACGTCTTTTCAGAAAGTAAGTCTGTTTGTTTACATTTTTTATCATATTCACTCGAAAAAAAGTGGTCACACTCGAAAAAACCCGATCAAATCACTCGAAAAACCACGATCCTAGCCGGACACTATACCTACCGTGAATATATAGAACTTAGACCCCGTTCACACTTGAACATATAGATCAATTTAAACTAGATCGGTTGACTTTTAATTTAGATCGATTTAACTCAAATGTGAACGCTTTGAATCAATCTTGAATCGGTATAATCTAAAACACCAAAAAGAGGTAGTATAGTTTGAATAATACTATTGAATCGAAAATAATTTGTGCGCATATATGGCGGCAAAACTACTCGTGCAATTAATTACAAAATGGACTAACATAAAAGGGCTGATATATGGACCCATGACGAAACATTCCTGTTGATCGAATTATGGGGAGATGAAAACTCGGTGTCTTCTTTTCTTCTGTTTTTTTTTAGGAACCGCAGCACTGCACGATGTTGTAACTTACTTGCTAAATTTTTTTGTTTGAAAATTAATGAAAACTATAAAAGTAGCAGTTTCAACATTTGAACTTGTTATTCAAGTGAAACAATAACCCCATCCATTATTTTTTTGCAAGCGTGTGTATCAACACATTAGTTGGATTAAAATTTTCTATTTATACATGTAGTGTTTACAGTTTCACTGTTAATTCGGTCAGATCGATTGCATGTTTACTTGTAGTGTGAACACAGTGGTTAAGATTACATCAATAAAGATCGCTAGGATTAGCGATAATGTGAACGATAACTGGTTTTATTTAGATCGATTCAAAAAAATGCTAACTTGTAAACGGGGTCTAATTTGAAACCATTGTTAAATCCGAAAATTATGGGGAAAGTACATTGTAAAAATCTTCCAGTCAGTAAAAGTCATTTGGCATATAAAAAGGAAAAAAAAGGACGGCTCTACGCTGAATAAGTATTTATGATTTTAAATTAGCTATGTTGAACAAATGTCGTTGTTTATGTTTATGAGTTTATGCATTGTGATATTTGTTTTATTGCTATGTCACCAACGCTTTGGATATAAGTTTGCATTGAAGAAAAAAATACAAATATGAATTAAGTATTTTACGTACAGAGAGTGACATTCACAGCACAAGGGGTATCATCCTCTGTAAGACTGTACATGACTGTGTTTTATACACACAGACCATTCAAAACAACATTCTACAAATTCTACATAGAATCTAAAAACTGATAAACAAGAACCTACAAAAATAGGGGAGGATATAAGGGTTCCAGAAAGGAACGCAGATTCTGTACCACATGACCTGTCGTATTGCAACTTTTTAATTAACGGCAAGTAGTCATTAAACTCTTTGTTAGGATACAATCATTTTCGACGTTAAAGAAACATATTCATAATTTCCATTGAAAAACGTTAACGGAAACATAAAATATTGATATAAATGTTATAGAGGCATATATTTTCATCTCTGTCCTCGGTAAGAGTAGTCTGGAGAAAAAATAGGATGATGTAGTTTTTTTTACATTCAAGCGTGTTTGAGTCAACTGGTTTGTAGGAAGTAGGAAAGTGACCGCCAGTAACAGTAAAACCTCATCTGACCCACTAAACGAGCCCCTGTGAACTATCTAAATCACTGAATTGTATTGCAAAAAAAGAAATCGTATTCTAGTATGCTCTCTCACGAAATATTTTTGGTGAACCTTCGAAACTGCCTTTCAATAATGAATAATAATAAATACAATATTTATAAAGCGCATTATATAATAACAACAACTCTAAGCGCTTCACATTTAAAAATAAATTAAATACAGAAAAAAAACATAAAACATAAAACATAAAATACAAAGCTCCAACTATTATGAATCAAACAAGCAGATAAAAAAATGCATGTACCCTAAAATATGCAAAACAGTCTAAAATTAATGTAGTCAGTTAAAAGCATATAAAATCTACAAGAAATCCTTAAAAGCAGTTCGAAAGAAGTGAGTCTTGAGTTGTTTTTTTAAAAACGTCTAAAGAATCCGAGGACGATATTAAACTGTTCCATAGTGTAGGCGCGGTTTTGTCAACGCCTCTCGCCGTAGCTTTTTGTTCGGACGTCATTTGGAGGATGTAAAAGCATAATATTTTACGACCTGAGGGATCTGTTGGGTTTGTATGACGTAATTACTTCTTGAAGATAGCTAGGATCCTTGCCATTCTGTGTTTTGTACACATATACAATAAGTTTGTATTGGCAACGGTAATGAATGGGTAGCCAGTGGAAAGAGACAAGAACTGGAGTGATTGAGTTAAATTTCCTTTTTCGGGAAATCAAACGTGCTGCTGTGCTTTGGACACGTTGTATCTTACTATTACTAATGATGTTGATGTTAGTACCGTACAACAATGCGTTGCTATAGTCTAGCCTTGATGTAAGTAGGGAGCACACTAGTGTTTTGCAGGCTTCAACCGAAATAAGAGATCGAATTCGACCAATATTCCGAATCTGGTAAAAACAAGCCTTAGTGATAGCACTGGCTTGATGTTCCATACTGATGGTTTTATCGAAGTACATTCCCAGATTTTTCACACAAGAAACTTCGCTTAACACAGTTCCATCAAATGTCAGACGGAAATCGGATAGATTCTTCACATGATGTTTAGGTGCAAAGATAATTAATTCTGTTTTGTCTTCATTAAGTTTAAGCATATTGGCACTCATCCAATCACCATTTCAACCATTTTGACAATATTTGTAAGAAATACTAATGCGTAAATGTGCATTCAATTTGATCATTTGGCAGAGGAAATATTTGTCTTTTAAACTACAGCTTTCAGTAAGCGATCTGTTTTTATGAAATGCGAATAAAAAAACAGATTCTCAAGAGCGCTAATAGGTGTCTCCCTTACCATGTCTACTATTTTCCTTGGTTAAAATAAAACGAATGCGTTTGACGGGTAGACCATTCTAGCGAAATATACATCTGTCTGACAGGAGATTCCGCATAAACGTATGATATGATTTTATAAAGTACGACTCGTGTTTCTGGAATAATATTGATCAGGTGCGCTCGTGTCCACCAGATAAATAAAAATCAAAGAGCACCAATACCAATACCATTAACGGCGTAAACAGAGCAATTTGATTGAGGAAGTTGAAATTTGAATACAACTAACTAAATTTACAATCAAAATGAATCATTGAAAAAAAAAAATCGCTTATTTGCATAGATTATTGTTCTGCAAATGTTTAAAATGATATTGTTTTATGTTTTATGCCCTCCTGGGGCTTGATTTGGTGAATAAAACTATTCTGTTCTGTTCTGTTTCGTTTCGTTTCGTTTCGTTTCGTTCCGTTCCAATCCATTCAATTACTCTCCACTGCACTCCACTCCACTACATTCCGTTCCGTTCCATTTTATCTATTCTATTCCATTCTATTCTATCATATTCTATTCTTTTCCATTACATTGCATTCCACTCCACTCCACTTCACTCTGTTCAATTCCTTTCAATTTCATTCAGTCCCACTTCACTCCATTATATTTCATTCTATTCTACTTTATCATATTCTATTCCGTTCAATTTAATTTCATTCCATTCAACTCAACTCCACTCAACTCTGTTAACGTTCCATTCCATTCCACTCAATTCCATGCCATTTCACTCCACTTCATTCTGATCCGTTCCATTCCATTCCATTCTATTCTATCATTTTATATTCTGTTTCATTTCATTCCATTCCAATCCCTTCTACTCAACTCTGTTCCATATCATTTTACTCCATTCCATTGCACTACACTCCACTCTGTCCCATTCCATTCCATTCAATTTCATTCCATTCCATTCCATTTCATTCCATTCCGTTCTATTTATCGTATTTTATTCCGTTCCATTCATTATATTCCATTACATTCCACTCCACTCCACTCTGTTCCACTCAACTCTACTCCCCTCCCCTCCACTCCAATCCAATCCAGTCCAATTCGTGTCTTGTCCCACTCCTATTTTCTTAATTCTTTAAAATCTCATTTTCATTTTGTTTCCATTAGTTCAGGTTTATATTCTCAATATAGCCTTTTTTGGCTAATGTATTGAGTATCATAACAACCACCAACAATTAATCAATAAACAGTGAAAAACATGAGAGTAGTACGGCCAAATGCGTCATCAGACATTGCACTTAGGTAACGCAAAACCTTGAAAAGGATATTTAAATTCATTCGATAAGGGAAACATTATGTTAACTTCGCTACCATTCAACTGATTTTCTGAAAACTACTAAATAGGGAAGTTGGCTACCTTCCAACTTCGCAATTGTATGTTACAGGTAAGACACAATAGTACGATATGCTAAGGTTTTCAAAAAGTCAATATCTTCGTTCCAGTATAATGGTTATTGATATTTCAGAGTTGATACCACAGTCATATTGAGAATTAATGACATGCAGGTAAATAAGACATTTTGCATATTTTATTTTATTCATTTGCTTTTCTTACCAATGGAAAGAAGGTGGAATGAAGGAACATTGTTATCCATTTTCACAACCAAAAAACTTTGTATATATATATATTTGTTATGAACATAAATGTAAAGATTCATCGGACATATGCAACATGCCCTTGATGTCATTCATCCCTGAAATGTCGGTTTTAAAGTCTCAAACATAACGTGTAATTATGGATATTAATGTTGTTATAATAGAGCGTAAATGACCAAGTTTCCTGTTAATATCATGAGATCTTGGTGTTTGAACCAATGGTTTTTAATAATAAAACTGAAGTTATCATTTAAAAGTTTTATGAACATCGTCATGATTGTTTGGTTTACCATTTTGGAATATCTATGTTATAGATGACCACATTATTACGTGTATAAGTTCCACTTAGCCACAGTCCCGTTTATTTCTCCTCGACTGTGACTTATACTGCCACTCTTAACCTTATTTGTGCCTGATGTGGAGCAGCATGACGGGAGCCACTGGTGTTACAGGAACAGCTTACCCTTCCGAAGTACATAAGTTCTATCCGGTTTTTGGTGTGGTTCGTATTTCTCTGTCTTTAACAGGTGCGGATACAGGATGATACGTTAGGAGAGCGCACATTCGAATTAGGAATTAGAGGACCTTATTTTAAAGCAACATTTGCTGTAAATTTACCTTTATTACATTTTGTTTCTTTTTTAGGGGGGGGGGGGTGCTTGCTTAATTTCTGTTTAGTTTTTATTGGACTGTTGTTGGTCATTTTGACGGTTTTGTTTTGGCCATGGTGTCGTCTTTTTTTTTCGACAAATAATTGGTATCTCCTCCCCTTTCCATACTATTGCAGCCTCGTTTTTGTAGTTTCTTATATTTGTTAATGCGCATCTCATCGAGTAACTGTTTAGGTAAAGTTTCCAACAGACGTTAAAGGTGGCACCTCGTGTTTCCCTTTTAACTCTTATGACTCAAAGATTAGCTTCTCGATCGACGTATTATATGTTTTTTTATAGAAAATAATCTTTTCTTCTGAAAACACTTGAAAAAATGTTCAGTAATCTATTTGAACAAAATCTTCAATAACAAATGTAGGAATGAAGCTTCCTATTTTATCTAGATGGTGACAAGCATCTAAGAAAACAACCATTCGTTGGTACAATAGTGGTCAAAGGAACAGTAAGGTTGCATCTATTTTCTTTTTTCTCTCGTCTGACTAAAATGACATGTTATCACCACCAAAAGTGTCATCCTTTTACATTAAACAAATATTCTTCTCTGAAACTAATTAGCAAAAAAACTGAGCCAGACTCCCCATTCAGCATTTACGGAAATATTTTATTTTTTTTAACAGTTTTAGTTTGAAGAAAAGTGAGATATTGGGAAAATACATACCAGTCAAATGTATATAGCATACATTCAATTTGGTTACATGTGTAAATAATTGGAAAAATTTTACATTACAGATTTGAAAAACACTTTTCCAAGATTCAAACTTATATCTTTTTTTTTATGTTTTAAATCCCCTAACCTGATTATTTCATAGATGTCTTTTTTTTTAATTTTCAGATGGTCGACAAGCCATTTTCCTAAATGGCGCAAAGGTAAAAAAAAATAATACTGCACTTTTTTTTATATTATTGAAATAACACAAGCTGGTTATGCGGAATTAGACTTTGGCAAGAGTATTTTCTTTTGGTCAAGACATTATGGTTTTCTTGAAATGTTAACGTGTGTCTTAATTTGAAATAATACTTTTTGTAGTAAAAACTCACCAAAGATACTAGACTTATAATAAGGTAAGCCAGACGAGTATTTCGTATACATAAGAATCATCAGTGGCATTTGAATCAAAACAGTTGTAAGGCCAAATCATATACGAAGCTGTAAAATGCAAGGTAGCTTAGATTAGCTTGCATTTTACAATAATGCATAGTTATTGAACAGTGCGAATCGAGAAATAGTTTATTTTTGTATGACTAAATGTAGCCAATGGGTAGATATCATTTAGTAAGTATATAAAAATTAGAGTGAAAAAATGAGAAAAACTAGTACCGTATAGTCGGCTATAAAAGACACCAACATAAAAATGTGTAGCAATTCAAACGAGAACGCTAACGGCTTAATTTATAACAATACAATTTACGAAAAACAAATATAACAGATATGAACCAACGGCAACCATTGAATTACATGCTCCTGACTTGGGACAGGCACACAAAGAATATGACGGGCTTTAACATATTTTATGCATTTAACGGAAATTTTAATTTTTAAGTTGAAAGGAATAAAAAGGTCTGTTTGGTTGATTGGATATCGATTAATTTCGGTATGCAAATTAAAAAATAATTCAGACCCATTTTGTCTATTTCCATCACATTGCATCAGTCATTTGCCGTCCGTAATTAAACAAAATGTTTTCTTTGAAAATATAAATAAAACTTTGCAGGAATGATGCATGGGAGTTATTATATAAAATAGTCATCGGTAAAGTCCGTCTGGCTATCGTTGATTCTGACTGGCAAGCTTTCAAAAATCTACTCGTAAAATACAAGCCTTACAAAATGTTTTGAAATGTCCAGGGGATTTAAAATGATTTGAAGACCCCCTTAAAAGCATATTTTTTAAAAGTTGAATGGATGACTCTCGGTGAAGTGTATGACTACAAACAGTTTAAATAAACCATTGATAGTGCATTATCTGATGAAGTCCTCTGCAAACAACAATGTACTTTTTGTAGTCCGTTTATATAATACGAATGTACGAGTTTCTGTTCTTCAAATTTCATTGACAGAATTTTATAATACTAATTGGATGGCCAGAAATATTTACATTTTTATTTTGCATCTCATTCTTATTTCAATCTCACCATGGAGTAAAATGGTACTACCGATATATAAGTAGATAAAACCAATCTGAATACATGTATTTTATCATAAAAAGAAAACCATAAAAACCATCACGGTAACATACATTTTATTTCGTGATCGTTCGGAGAACTCATCTCATGCTACCATTATTAGAATCCTTAAAAAAAAAAAACATTAAGAAAGTGAAACCATATCGACATTCTGAACCAATATTTGCGGCTTTCTAATTGTTTAATTATGTTTTAGTTTAGACTCATCGTCTAGAGGACAAAGACGAGGAAGAGGTTATGGAAGAGGTAGAGGTTATGGAAGAGGTAGAGGATATCAATCACGAAGCGAATCAGATTGCCGGTGAGTGTCCATGACAAAATATTTAAAATGTTTAGATTATAAATCAAGTAAAATAAATCCTTTGTTTTTCTATTAAGTTGCTTACATGCATCTACGTCATTTGGTCTCTGGTGGATAGTGGTCTCACTGACAATCATGCCACATTTTCTAAGTTTTATATTGATAAGATTCCAAATTCCTAAACCTTAGTCAAAACAGTTTTAAATCCATATGCTTAATTTTCTTGTAATGTTTTGTAATTTTGTAATTTCTCACACCCATAACACTGAGTATGCATTAAACTGTAACATCGTACATTTGTCTGATGTGACAAAAAGTTTTACATCAAGAAATGCGCATGTTGACAGGAGTTTGATTTACTACAATTTTTCACAAAATTACCAACAGTCGAACAGTCATTTTTGCATGGGAAATATCCAACGAAAGGTAAAAAGGTATACATTTTTATTCTGAAGAACACTTGCTGATATTCTAATTGAAATCCTCGTTACAGTGTTCGTCTAACTTACCAAACAACTCTTTTGCACAACTTCAAGCACTCGTCTAACACATTTTTGCATCGGCCTACAAGATTGTACCATATTCAGTATTTTACATGTCGAACTATGTTTGCGACAAGAAATTACATATGTGTTTCATTAAATCAACTCTTTCTGACCCAATTATGCTGTTAATTTCAGCGTCAACTTATCAGGAGTCATCACTTGATATACACAAGGTTTTTATCAGAAACTGGTTATCGGTGTTAATAACAAAAAAAATTAAAGCAAAAAAAAAAATGTTGAACGAAAAAATCCACTGAAACACATGTTTCAAAAACATTTATAATCAAAATATATTGAGATAAATAGTAAGCACATACGACATGCTTTTCCATACAGTTTACTATTTATCTTCAAGTAAATACTTCGATTATATGTTCAAACTAGTCAAATTTTATTTACTTTAAGCTTAGGTGAACCATTTCAACAAATGCACAGTTCAGAGGTAAACAGTAATTTACAATGCTTTTTTTCGACACACATGGACTGCTGTCCCATTTTCTATGATAGATATTAACTGAGAAACGTATTTAATTAAAAAAACAAAATGATGAAGTGCAAATCAACATTTCTATGTTGTTTTCAACTATTTAAGAGAAGATACTCCGCTAACATTTAACCCATATTTTGCAGAGAAACACGGTATAACATTCAGTAAAATAAGCTAATGGGGACTATATTAGTTTTAGAAGAATTAATTAACCGTGTTCGAATTTTCACACGAAACAGAATCTTTCGTGTGTTTTGTTTGGTGTACTCTTTTTTACAGGACAATAGATGTGATACCAGAGATAGAAGCGCCCCTTTTTAGACTTGGTTATACACACTATTTATACCTATTATTTAGCATCCCACATAATAAAAAGTTATTAAAACCCACAACATTGTACATACAAAACAAGGTAAAATCGAATATCATTTAAAACCATACAGCAAACAATGTTTGTTCTCCATATGTTACGATTGCAAACTTTTTCAGGCGATCTAATAGCAGTTCTATCAGAGCAGGAAGGAAACCTTGGCGGCTATTGTTTGGATTCAGGAGGCTCACAGAGTTGAAAGATAAAGAATCAAATGAAATTCTTCTACACTGCACTTCAAACAAGGACTGTCTGGAAGATGCCCTTAACGATACGGACCACGACGAAGAGATGTTTTGTCTTATTTTGAAATGCTGTGCTAAAGCATGTCAGTGTGAATCATTATCACAAAAGCTGTTGGAGTTTCTTGTAACATTAGAAGATTCCAAATTCCTAAAAGAAACGCTTACTGACTATATTATTGATCTTAAACATTTACCTTCGTCAGAAATTGAGTTACACGAAGACAGGCTAGTAGACATAATGATGATTTTCGCCCAATTGAAAATGAAAGTTCCTCATGCAATGTTGCTTTCTTTAGGAGTATTAGCTATGTTAGAGGAAGTTCTCCAAGCAGTCGAATATGAATGTGGTGTGGTCAGTCATAAACTTGCTGCTGCCTACAAAGAATGGAAGGAAGCAAAACAAATTACTGTCAAGCAGAAACCATCGAAACAAAATAAGCGATATCTGTCTAACGCTGAAGATGAATGGCTGCCACCAGAAAACTTTAGAGAAATTCCTGTCTTTCCCGAATCAATTGACATTAATGTACAAGATTTGCCGTTCTTACGCCGCAACAAAGTTGAAGGTCGTTATCATGACCTGAATCACTATTTAGATGTGCAGTTCCGTTTATTAAGGGAGGATTTCATTGCTCCACTCAGGGAAGGTGTCAAAGAATATATAGAAGCTATTAGTACTAATGGAAAAACGACGAGACTGCAAGATGTAAGAATATACACAGATGTCCAAATAATTAGTCCAATTTGTAGCAACTTAGGATTATGCCAACGTGTCACATTCACGTGTCCTGGTTTTAATCGTATACGGTGGGAATCAACAAAGAGACTCATTTTTGGTTCATTGGTTGTTTTATCCGCAGATAAATTTGACACGTTCCTTTTTGCTACTGTTGCAAACCGTGATTTAAAAGATGTAAGAAAGGGACTTGTTGATCTTCAGTTTGAAAGTGATTCTCAGAAACTAACATCTGTTCGTCCAGGAACCAACTTCGTCATGGCAGAGACAAGTGCATATTTTGAAGCATATCGGCACGTACTGCTTGGCCTACAGAACATGAAAGAGGGAGACTTGCCTTTTGAGAAGTATATTGTACATTGTGAAGTGAATGTTAAGCCACCAGCCTATCTTTGTCGACAGCCATCTGCTCGAATGGATCTTCGTCCTTTGGTCGATGAAGATATTTGGTTGAGAGATGAGAGTCACCAACCTGGCCGACGCGTACAAGATGCTTCAAAGCCTGTCTATACATTCAGTGCCAGGGCAAACATGGCGAATAATATCAAAGTTACAGATGAAACATACTGGCCAGATCCAGGGCTATTGCACCTGGACAATTCTCAGTTCGATGCCGTTCGCACGGCTCTTTCAAAGGAATTTGTGATCATTCAAGGACCCCCAGGTACAGGGAAGACGTATATTGGACTAAAGATAGTAAGAGCATTGCTCCACAACAAGTCATTGTGGACTACAGATTCCATTACAAGAGAACATAACAACAAGCCACTTTTAGTCGTGTGTTATACAAATCATGCTCTTGATCAGTTTTTAGAAGGCATTATAAACTTTTACAAAGGGGATGTCTTGCGTTTAGGTGGGCGAAGCTCTAGTGAGGTAATGAAAAATTATAGCATTGCCAACAAGCGTGAAGCACTGAGAAGAAACCGGAGTATACCTAGAGCCATCTATGTAGAAAGAACTAAAACAAGAATTAGAGTAAAAGCTCTTAGAACTAGTATCAATTTTCTAGCAGCGAGAATAGAAAGTGCAAAAATTAATATATTACACGAGGAATGTCTTCAAGCAATTATTAGCCAAAAACATTTTAGGAATTTGATAAGTGGATATGAACTTATTAAGTTTCAAGAGAACACCAGATACTTTCGGAATGCTAGAAAGCAAAAGGAATCTGCTTTAATTGAATGGCTAGGATACGGACAATTTTTACAACAAAACACTAAAGAAAAGATACCAAACACCATAAGTAAAGACAGAGAAACAACAACCGAAGACGATTTAGTAGACGTTATAAATGAAATTGATGCAGAAACTCAGCAAAGGCAAACAGATGGTTACAACGACGGTGAAAATGTCAATGAAAACGAAACTATTGCAGAGGTTACTGATATCCTTTCCCGCTTAGGGATCGGTGAGAATACTGTTGCTATTAATGTATCTGAAATGGATGACGATGAAGCAATAACTCCTGAAATGTCTTTCCGATCAAAGAACAATTCAAATGAATGGGAAATTCAAGGTAGACATTGGAAACTCATGAAGAAAAAGCTTAAACAACAACTTCGTTCTAATGAATCTATGAATGATACAGAAGTTTCACAAATCCGTGATATTTGGAATTTGTCTTCCGAAAATAAATGGCGGCTTTATCGATACTGGATTCTTCAGTACTGTAACATTATTCAAAGAAAAATCGATCAAAATGAAGAGGAATTTAAGAATGCATGCAAAGCACATATAGAAATACAGATGCAAGAAGATAAAGATATAATGAAACACGCCACTGTTATCGGCATGACAACTACATGCGCGGCAAAATATCAACCAGTACTTAAAGAACTTGGACCAAGAATAATTGTAGTAGAGGAGGCGGCAGAGGTTCTTGAGGCTCATGTGATTACCACTTTGAGCAAACAATGTGAGCATCTGATTCTAATTGGCGACCATCAACAGCTTAAGCCTAACCCAACAGTGTATAAACTTGCACTGAATTTTAACCTTGATTTGTCTTTATTTGAAAGAATGATAAAGAACAAACTCGAATATAATTGTCTTGAGCAACAGCATCGCATGCGTCCAGAAATCGCAAAAATCATGAAAATTATATATCCACGTTTGTTGAATCACGAAATTGTTCACACATATGAGGATATAAAGGGCGTATCAAAAAATGTATTTTTCGTCAACCATTCTGAAAAAGAGTCTTCAGATGAAGAATCCAGAAGCCGCTCTAACCAACACGAGGCAGAATATATCGCCGGACTATGTAAATACTTACTATTACAAGGTTATTCTCCCTATCAAATAACAGTTTTAACATTGTATTCTGGACAACTTTTCTGTCTTAAACAAAAAATGCCAAAGTCAACTTTTAATGGTGTCAAGATAACAGTTGTCGATAATTTCCAAGGAGAGGAAAACGATATCATAATATTGTCCTTAGTCCGGAGCAATGAGGCAGATAACATTGGTTTTCTTAGTATCGAAAACAGGGTGTGCGTAGCATTATCTCGTGCAAAAAAAGGATTTTATGTAATTGGAAATTTTGAAATGCTAGCACGAACAAATCAATTATGGAAGTCAATCATAAGCCTTGCTAAAGATGATGACTTTTTAAGTGAAGGCCTGACGTTATACTGCCAAAATCATCCTAATGATAAAGGAATCTACGCAAAGATAGGGAGCGACTTTAAGAAAGCACCAGAAGGTGGCTGCTTAAAACCCTGCGATGTACGCCTCAGCTGCGGGCATACTTGTACAAGGGCGTGTCATGTAAGCGACAGGAAACATGAACAATTCAAATGCATGAAACCTTGCGTAAAAAAAGCATGTAATTTAGGACACCGATGCCAGGGACGATGTAGTCACAAATGCCCTCCATGCATGTTTCTTATCGCTAAAACGTTACCCTTATGTGGACATATTCAAAATGTTCCATGTTCTATGGATCCCTTAAAATGGAGTTGCACAGATAAATGTCAGAAAATGTTAAAATGCAATCACTTATGTGGAAACCTTTGTGGAGAAAGTCATACAGATAAATGTCAAGATTTAGTAGAAAAGGACTGGTCATGTGGACATTCTGCAACAATAGAGTGTTACAGGTCAAACATGCAATGTCCGTCAGTTTGCAAAAGTGAACTTGGCTGTGGTCATTTATGCAAAGGAACTTGTGGCCAGTGTTTTCAAGGAAGACTTCATAAAGCATGCAAACAGAGATGTAATCGTACACTTCTTTGTGATCATCCTTGCAAAAACTTTTGTTCAAATTGCCCTCCGTGTACACTTAAGTGTGAAAACCGTTGTATTCATAGTAATTGTCAGAAAACTTGCGGCGAACTGTGTATACAGTGTATCGAGAAATGTGAATGGCAATGTCAACACTTTCGTTGTACCAAATTATGCAGCCAGCCATGCGATAGACCAAGATGTAATCAACGATGTAGAAATCCATTAAAATGCGGTCATCGATGCATTGGAGTATGTGGCGAGCCCTGTCTAACTTTATGCAAGATATGCAACAAAGATAAGGTTACTGAAATATGTTCCGAATTACACGACAAGCCTAATGCGCTTTTTGTTCAGTTGGAAGACTGTTCTCATGTTTTTGAAGTAGATTGGCTTGATAGATGGATGGACAATGATAGCCAAACACGCGAAAAAACACCAGTTAAGTTGAAAGAGTGTCCAAAATGCATGAAGCCAATTAGACGAAATGTTAGATACGGTAACCTGATAAAGCAAACTTTGAACGATATTGAAACTGTAAAAAAAAAGTTAGAGCAAAGAAAATCCGAGCTGGAGTATTCCTCACTACGAAAATCTAGATCATTAGTTTCAGCTGACCGCAGGATATTCAACGAACAATACTCGAGAAATCAGATATCATCCCAAAATAATTTTGCAGCTGTAGAAAATCAGATAAGATGTTTAATAACTTTGTCAGAAATTAAAGAGAAATACCAAAACGAAGTTGTTCGATCAAGAACAGAAGGGATATTAAATGCATTGCAACAAATAGACGAAGTACACGATTTCATCATCAAAGATCGAAGCTACTTCACTCTCCAGGAAACAGATGATATATTGAGAGAAATGGAAAGATTCAATCTTTTACTGAAATTTTCACATCTTAAAGAATGGAAATTGAAATCTGACATTAAAATGGACGCGTCCTTTGATGTAAATCTAGGAAGAGTGAAGAGATACCTGACAGATGGAAATCAATTTATCGATCGAAGAAAGGTCTTTGTTACTAAATTTCTCAAGGTCGTTGAAGACCTCATACCTCGATCGGGTCTTGATATATCGGACAGGGAGAGAACAGTATTGGTCAACGCAAAGCAGCTGTTCAAAGGTTATTGGTACAAATGTAAAAATGGTATGTAACAGTATTCTACGAACATATACTTTTGTTCACTATTTTAGTATAGTGCATATTTTTTTCTGTTATTGATTAAGATTTCACAAGCTGATTTTTGGTATATTTTCGTTTACTTCTGCTTTTTCAACGCGATTATCAACCTTTAAGTTAGAAAATTTCGCATAACTGACATTGCATTACTCTGTTTATGTTGGGAAAGGGTAATGCGCTTATTTTGCTTCGTGTTGTGGTTGAATGCGAAGTTAAAAAAGATCAACTTCAGTTGCAGTTTGCATTTATATTTGAAAGAATTATGGCCATTGGAAATTTAGAAAGTCCGTGAAAGTAAATATTTCCCGTTTTTTCCAATACCATGAATAATGATATCCATATTGCATATACCATAGAAAAAGACGAAACAATATGAACACTGATTGAATTTCGATATGAGGAGATACGGGGTATTATGTCAATGAAAGCCATCAATCGACAAAAACCTAATTAACTTCTAGAGGTCACATACAGACATGTCGGGTGTTGTCTGCTCTATGGTCGGGTTGTTGTCTCTTTGACACATTCCCCATTTCCATTCTCAATTTTATGTGTATATACAATATATCAAGCTCTATATCGTTCACTTTGAGAAAGGAAAGTAACGTTTGAATTGATGTGTTTTTACTCCAATAATTCTATTATGAGGGATTGTAGCCATTCCTATTTTCTTGTGATTGATAGTTAAAAGCAAAAGACAACAAATGAGAAATAGAAAACCATAGATCAAAGTTTATAAAAGCTAATATTTCAACAAGAAACATAAAATAAAGCAAATACGTTTGTACACTAAACATTTCTTTTACAAACAAAATTCAGTATATATCATAATAGTGAACATATATGTGAAAGAATAGATAAGCAATTTATCTTTCCTTCATGGATTCACATATATTACAGAAACATCTAAAACTTGACTGAAATATAATAAAAACATATTTTACACTTTTCGGAAACTATTAAGCCATCGCAATAAATATCAAGATAGAGCACAGTTAGTATTAAATATGGTGAAAAAGTTCAAATAAAGTGAAATTTTGTTTTCTGACTTACAGGTATTTTGTTATAAAATAACCGAATGTTACTTATCTTATTTGTTTTACTACCAAGAACAACACAACGGGTGCCACTATAGAGAACCACTAGCTCTAACCTTTCTGAAGTACCAGAGTTTCCCCCGTTAACTATACTTTGGGTTATGTTCATATTTCTCAATCTTTAGTTTCTGCTTTATGATCTCATCTTCGCTAGCCAAGGGTTACGATCCACTTCCCTCCTCTCCACCCTTGGCAGATTGAGATAGAATTTCGGAGACACAAGGTAATGATTTTCATTGGTTGCAGTCGAAACTCGCTGCATCCAATCAAAAAGCGCCTATAACATGATCACGTGTAAATGTAGAAAGTGTATGTAAACAATTGCCACGTGCTTATTGTGCAACAGGTCTTTACATCCCTAAACATACGACTATATTTAGTTACAATTTGAATGTTTTTAATCAACTAATAGAAGTTCCTCTGCATGTTTCTTGCACAAATGCATGAATGTCAACGTATATTTTCGTTTCCTGCTTTACCAAGTGTGTAGAATCTAGACGCTACCGTGTTTTTACCTCCAAATTGAAGAGTTCAAGTGCTACCATTGGTCAAGAATAATGTATCCGGAATGGGCGTGACTTTAATCTACCGATAGATGGCGCAACATTGTTATTACAAATGTTGGCTTAATCTGCCAAGGGCGGAGAGGAGGGAAGTGGATCGTAACCTTTGGCTAGTGAAGATGTATGATATGGACTGTTCTTTGTATATTTGTGTTTTCGTTTGTCCATGGTATTATTTTTTTTTTTGCTAACTTATCATTTTTATTTTGCCATCTAAGAGTATATAGCTATTAACATCTTCAACGTTGTACAATATTTAATTAGCCGACCAAGTTAAATGCCGTTTTTTTTCTGGAATCCAAGTTGTGCTTATTTTTAATCCTTCTTATCAGGGCATATAGGTTTATCCCTGTCTCAATCTAATTAAAATATCGAACAATCGTAACTTGTGTCATATGAGTATAACGAAATCATAGATCTATATTTTAATTAGATTGATCCCTGTCTGTCCATTCGTTCGTCGTAATATATATATATTTACAACTATATTTCATATAAATCATAAACTTTTACTCGAATGCGATTATGATACACAGTTAAGAACATGAAAAAATGTAGGACCTATTTGGTTTTCTCTTATAATAATATCGGTTCCGTATGGAAAACATTAAAGAAGCAGATATTAATTTTGATAAACAAAAAAATTAAACCGTTTATAGTCGTTATATGTATGAATAGTATAGCAAACGCATTTTATTCCTTATAAGGTCATGTGTATGCATTCAGTGCCTGTGGAGGTGAAACTGAAGGAAGCATTTGCCCAGAATGCAGGACGACAATTGTTGGAAGGAGCCATCGATTGAGAGAAAGAGCGGAAACGATGTTGTAAGAATAGATGGTGCCAGACATCTTTCCTAGTCGGAATAATAAGGAAAATTATGACCCGTTTCAAATCGGAAATTGAAGTAGAGTCGAAATGGAATTCTAATGTATATATACTAAACAAATGATAATGATATAGGAGTAGATTCCAATGAAAGGGATATCAAATATTCAAATAATCCTATAACCAGAAATGTTTTATTTTATTCGCTTGTTTCTATGTCAATAAATGTGCCTTTGCTACTCTCCTTTATGATTCGATTCATGCTGAAATATATCATAGAAATTAGACGTTGTATTGCCTGAAAAGGGGAATTTATCTTTTCACTTGTCGATATCATTTCGTAAAACAACAGATTTCTGTGGCAATCTCGTTTGAATTTTAATCGTTCTTCAACGTAGTTTGCTATCAAAGGACAATAATCATAAATATTTTATCAAATCGCAAATGATTCATTCTCAGTCTTTTGCATTTACAATATGTCAGTGATCGCACATGGTTGTTTGATAAATATAAGTATAGTTATTCAAATATTTAAAACTCAACCCATACTGCATGAAAAATCTAAATCTGAAAGAACACTAGTGCATTTGTTTGTTTTTTTGTTAGTTTTGCTATGTTTATTTTTTTAAATTTTGGTATGAACTATGTATTTGAATAATACCTCATAGATGGATCCAGTTAGATGTTTACAGACATTCAAGCCGTTCAATGAATTATTTGTAATGTCTCCAAATATACATTGAATAGGTATTTCTAAATTGTGCAACATACACCGTACAAACGACAGTGTATTTTTTTAATTCAAAACTTACCAAAGTGATTTTTAAAGAAAATACTATATAGATTAAAGATTGTTAGGTTAAACGGCAGTGTAAATAGTTTTTACTAAGTAATTAATTTGGCAATAGATAATTCGTTTTGAATTTCTGTTTCAATAAAATTTGCTATTATATATATATATATATATATATATATATATATATATATATATATAAGTCTAGAGATTTGCACAACGATACTAATATAAGATGGTATTATACGAAGATGTTGTTAATAAATCGTGTTGACAAATATTTCGGCTTAACAAATAGCCTTCTTCGGTGTCAATTATTTTAACAATACTGTATTGTTAAAATAATTGACACCGAAGAAGGCTATTTGTTAAGCCGAAATATTTGTCAACACGATTTATTAACAACATCTTCGTATAATACCATCTTATATTAGTATCGTTGTGCAAATCTCTAGACTTATATAATTTTTTCCTTATCTGCACAGTATCGTCTATTCTAGACGATCCGGTACATAGTAAATTTGCTGGTTGGTCCTTTTTATAGACTTCTATATATATATATATATATATATACAAGTCTAAATTGAAAACAACGTTCAAACCTATGATTGCGTTGGATAAAAACCGCAATTTTTATACGCGTGCATGCAAAACAAATTTCTTTGTAGAGGGGTCTAAATACAGCACAAACAACATTTTCCAAAAGACCAAAAAAGTGAAAAAGTATATTTTAACAAAACTCATTTGACTAGCAGGTCGAACAACAGATGTTCTTAAACCCTGCTGACTGCCATGGCGATTGCCAAATAAACGGATCACAGATGTAACACAATGGATCTTAATTATATTAATTTAAGGTATAGAACCACTAATTCAGGCTCGGTCGGAAAGAACATACAAGAAAGTAGAACATATTTTAAACAAAATAGTTCCTACGCATAGCTGTATCTTTGTCAATAGGTGGAATATTTGGGTAGTTTTGGTATCAAATGAAAGCTTGGGGACTTGGGATCACTGTAGAACCCTTGTTGAAAGTTTTTTTTGAATAATAAAGAAGTATATACAATTTTAATAGGAGGGTACATTTGCCCTGTTGTTCAGATCAGAAGCACCAGTTTTTGTACTATCAAACTTCCGGGAACCAGTATGCTCTAATATGCAATTAAAGGTATGTTGAATTTTTCAGCACAAGTCAGGATAAGGTATAGTTTTGACATGAAATAACTGCTACTTTATTTGAACTTAAGACAAAGTAGCCATTAATGCTTGAAATTGCAGAATTTAACATAGAAAGCAATGGGGCTATGAATTAGTGGTTTTATACCTTAATACCAAACAGAAAACAATAAACTTGCGGAAAAGATGGTATACCGCAAACATGAGGTGCAAATATTTGTACACCATATCCGGATTTCGACAATTAATGTCTCTTCAGTGATGTTAGGAATCGAAATGGTATTTGGAAGGCCATATAATTTACCTCAATTTGGGATTGACTCTTGAATTTTGAAGAGTCGAAATAGGATGAACGGATCATATAAACCCGAAGGCAAATATAATACAAGCCCAAACGAAAAAATATAAACAAGTCTAAATTGAAAACAACGTTCAAACCTATGATTGCGTTGGATAAAAACCGCAATTTTTATATATATATATATATAACGTCAGTTGTTCGACCTGTTAGTCAAATGCGTTTTGTTTAAATATACTTTTTCACTTTTTTGGTCTTTTGGAAAATATTGTTTGTACTGTATTTAGACCCCTCTATCAAGAAATTTGTTTTGCATGCACACGTATAAAAATTGCGGTTTTTATCCAACGCAATCATACGTTTGAACGTTGTTTTCAATTTAGACTTATTTATATTTTTTCGCTTGGGCTTGTATTATTTTTGCCTTCGGGTTTATATGATCCGTTCATCCTATTTCGACTCTTTAAAATTTAAGAGTCTTTCCTAAGTTGAGGTAAATTATATGGCCTTCCAAATACCGTTTCGATTCCTAACATCACTGAAGAGACATTAATTGTCGAAATCCGGATATGGTGTACAAATTTTTGCACCTCATGTTTGCGGTTTACCATCTTTTCCGCAAGTTTATTGTTTTCTATTTGGTATTAAAGTAATAAATTAAATAAAGATCCATTTTGTTACATCTTGTGATCCGTTTATTTGGCAATCGCCAATGGCAGTCAGCAGGGTTTAAGAACATCAGTTGTTCGACCTGTTAGTCAAATGCGTTTTGTTTAAATATACTTTTTCACTTTTTGGTCTTTTGGAAAATCTTGTTTGTGCTGTATTGATACCCCTCTACCAAGAAATTTGTTTTGCATGCACACGTATAAAAATTGCGGTTTTTATCCAACGCAATCATAGGTTTGAACGTTGTTTTCAATTTAGACTTATTTATATTTTTTTTCGCGCTTGACTTGTATTATATTTGCCTTCGGGTTTATATGATCCGTTCATCCTATTTCGACTCTTTCAAATTCAAGAGTCTATCCTAAATTGAGGTAAATTATATGGCCTTCCAAATACCGTTTCGATTCCTAACATTACTGAAGAGACATTAATTGTCGAAATCCGGATATTGTGTACAAATGTTTGCAACTTATGTTTGCGGTATACCATATTTTCCGCAAGTTTATTGTTTTCTATTTGGTATTAAATTAATAAATTAAATAAAGATCCATTTTGTTACATCTTGTGATCCGTTTATTTGGCAATCGCCAATGGCAGTCAGCAGGGTTTAAGAACATCAGTTGTTCGACCTGTTAGTCAAATGCGTTTTGATTAAATATACTTTTTCACTTTTTGTCTTTTGGAAAATGTTGTTTGTGCTGTATTTAGACCCCTCTACCAAGAAATTTGTTTTGCATGCACACGTATAAAAATTACGCTTTTTATCCAACGCAATCATCTATTTGAATGTTGTTTTCAATTTAGACTTATTTATATTTTTTCGCTTGGGCTTGTATTATATTTGCCTTCGGGTTTATATGATCCGTTCATCCTATTTCGACTCTTTAAAATTCAAGAGTCTATCCTAAATTGAGGTAAATTATATGGCCTTCCAAATACCGTTTCGATTCCTAACATCACTGATGAGACATTAATTGTCGAAATCCGGATATGGTGTACAAATTTTTGCAACTTATGTTTGCGGTATACCATCTTTTCTGCAAGTTTATTGTTTTCTATTTGGTATTAAATTAAAAAATTAAATAAAAATCCATTTTGTTCCATCTTGTGATCCGTTTATTTGGCAATCGCCAATGGCAGTCAGCAGGGTTTAAGAACATCAGTTGTTCGACCTGTTAGTCAAATGCGTTTTGTTTGAATATACTTTTTTGACTTTTTTGGTCTTTTGGAAAAATGTTTTTGCTGTATTTAGATCCCTCTACCAAGAAATTTGTTTAAGCATGCACACGTATAAAAATTGCGGTTTTTATCCAACGCAATCATAGGTTTGAACGTTGTTTTCAATTTAGACTTCTTTACATTTTTCGCTTGGGCTTGTATTATATTTGCCTTCGGGTTTATATGATCCGTTCATCCTATTTCGACTCTTTAAAATTCAAGAGTCTATCCTAAATTGAGGTAAATTATATGGCCTTCCAAATACCGTTTCGATTCCTCACATCACTGAGGAGACATTAATTGTCGAAATCCGGATATAGTGTACAAAAACCTTTGCACCTTTTGTTTGCGGTATACCATCTTTTCCGCAAGTTTATTGTTGTCTATTTGGTATTAAATTAATAAATTGAATAAAGATCCATTTTGTTACATCTTGTGATCCGTTTATTTGGCAATCGCCAATGGCAGTCAGCAGGGTTTAAGAACATCAGTTGTTCGACATCTTAGTCAAATGCGTTTTGTTTAAATATACTTTTTCACTTTTTTGGTCTTTTGGAAAATCTTGTTTGTGCTGTATTTAGACCCCTCTACCAAGAAATTTGTTTTGCATGCACACGTATAAAAATTGCGGTTTTTATCCAACGCAATCATAGGTTTGAACGTTGTTTTCAATTTAGACTTGTTTATATTTTTTCGCTTGGGCTTGTATTATATTTGCCTTCGGGTTTATATGATCCGTTCATCCTATTTCGACTCTTCAAAATTCAAGAGTCTATCCTAAATTGAGGTAAATTATATAGCCTTCCAAATACCGTTTCGATTCCTAACATCACTGAAGAGACATTAATTGTCGAAATCCGGATATGGTGTACAAAGTTTTGCACCTTATGTTTGCAGTATACCATCTTTTCCGCAAGTTTATTGTTTTCTATTTGGTATAAAATTAATAAATTAAATAAAGATCCATTTTGTTCCATCTTGTGATCCGTTTATTTGGCAATCGCCAATGACAGTCAGCAGGGTTTAAGAACATCAGTTGTTCGACCTGTTAGTCAAATGCGTTTTGTTTAAATATACTTTTTCACTTTTTTGGTCTTTAGGAAAATGTTGTTTGTGCTGTATTCAGACCCCTCTACCAAGAAATTTGTTTTGCATGCACACGTATAAAAATTGCGGTTTTTATCCAACGCAATCATAGGTTTGAACGTTGTTTTCAATTTAGACTTATTTATATTTTTTTTCGCGTTTGGGCTTGTATTATATTTGCCTTCGGGTTTATATGATCCGTTCATCTTATTTCGACTCTTTAAAATTCAAGAGTCTATCCTAAATTGAGGTAAATTATATGGCCTTCCAAATACCGTTTCAATTCCTAATATTACTGAAGAGACATTAATTGTCGAAATCCGGATATGGTGTACAAATTTTTGCAACTTATGTTTGCGGTATACCATATTTTCCGCAAGTTTATTGTTTTCTATTTGGTATTAAATTAATAAATTAAATAAAGATCCATTTTGTTACATCTTGTGATCCGTTTATTTGGCAATCGCCAATGGCAGTCAGCAGGGTTTAAGAACATCAGTTGTTCGACCTGTTAGTCAAATGCGTTTTGATTAAATATACTTTTTCACTTTTTGGTCTTTTGGAAAATGTTGTTTGTGCTGTATTTAGACCCCCCTACCAAGAAATTTGTTTTGCATGCACACGTATAAAAATTGAGGTTTTTATCCAACGCAATCATATATTTGAATGTTGTTTTCAATTTAGACTTATTTATATTTTTTTCGCTTGGGCTTGTATTATATTTGCCTTCGGGTTTATATGATCCGTTCATCCTATTTCGACTCTCTAAAATTCAAGAGTCTATCCTAAATTGAGGTAAATTGTATTGCTTTCCAAATACCGTTTCGATTCCTAACATCACTGAAGAGACATTAATTGTCGAAATCCAGATATGGTGTACAAAAACCTTTGCACCTTTTGTTTGCGGTATACCATCCTTTCCGCAAGTTTATTGTTTTCTGTTTAGTATTAAATTTATAATTAAGATCCATTTATTACATCGGTGATCCGTTTATTTGGCAATCGCCAATGGCAGTCAACAGGGTTTAAGAACATTTGTTGTTCGACCTGTTAGTCAAATGCGTTTTGTTAAAATATACTTTTTCACTTTTTTTGGTCTTTTGGAAAATGTTGTTTGTGCTGTATTTAGACCCCTCTAACAAGAAATTTGTTTTGCATGCACACGTATAAAAATTGCGGTTTTTATCCAACGCAATCATAGGTTTGAACGTTGTTTTCAATTTAGACTTGTTTATATTTTTTTGTTTGGGCTTGTATTATATTTGCCTTCGGGTTTATATGATCCGTTCATCCTATTTTGACTCCTCAAAATTCAAGAGTCTATACTAAATTGAGGTAAATTGTATGGCTTTCCAAATACCGTTTCGAATCCTAACATCACTGAAGAGACATTATTTGTCGAAACATGGATATGGTGTACAAACCTTTGCACCTTTTGTTTGCGGTATACCATCTTTTCCGCAAGTTTATTGTTTTCTATTTGGTATTAAATTAATCAATTAAATAAAGATCCATTTTGTTACATCTTGTGATCCGTTTATTTGGCAATCGCCAATGGCAGTCAGCAGGGTTTAAGAACATCAGTTGTTCGACCTGTTAGTCAAATGCGTTTTGTTTGAATATACTTTTTCACTTTTTTGGTCTTTTGGAAAATGTTGTTTGTGCTGTATTTAGACGCCTCTAACAAGAAATTTGTTTTGCATGCACACGTATAACAATTGCGGTTTTTATCCAAAGCAATCATACGTTTGAACGTTGTTTTCAATTTAGACTTGTTTATATTTTTTCGTTTGGGCTTGTATTATATTTGCCTTCAGGTTTATATGATCCGTTCATCCTATTTTGACTCCTCAAAATTCAAGAGTCTATCCTAAATTGAGGTAAATTGTATGGCTTTCCAAATACCGTTTCGATTCCTAACATCACTGAACAGACATTAATTGTCGAAATCCGGATATGGCGTACAAAAACCTTTGCACCTTTTGTTTGCGGTATACCATCCTTTCTGCAAGTTTATTGTTTTCTGTTTAGTATTAAATTTATAATTAAGATCCATTTATTACATCTTGTGATCCGTTTATTTGGCAATCGCCAATGGCAGTCAACAGGGTTTAAGAACAACAGTTGTTCGACCTGTTAGTCAAATGCGTTTTGTTTAAATATACTTTTTCACTTTTTTGGTCTTTTGGAAAATGTTTTTGCTGTATTTAGACCCCTCTACCAAGAAATTTGTTTTGCATGCACACGTAAAAAAATTGCGGTTTTTATCCAACGCAATCATAGGTTTGAACGTTGTTTTCAATTAAGACTTATTTATATTTTTTTCGCTAGGGCTTGTATTATATTTGCCTTCGGGTTTATATGATCCGTTCATCCTATTTCGACTCTCTAAAATTCAAGAGTCTATCCTAAATTGAGGTAAATTATATGGCCTTCCAAATACCGTTTCGATTCCTAATATCACTGAAGAGACATTATGAAATCCGGATATGGTGTACAAATGTTTGCACCTCATGTTTGCGGTATACCATCTTTTCCGCAAGTTTATTGTTTTCTATTTGGTATTAAATTAATAAATTAAATAAAGATCCATTTTGTTACATCTTGTGATCCGTTTATTTGGCAATCGCCAATGGCAGTCAGCAGGGTTTAAGAACATCAGTTGTTCGACCTGTTAGTCAAATGCGTTTTGTTTGAAAATACTTTTTCACTTTTTTGGTCTTTTGGAAAATGTTGTTTGTGCTGTATTTAGACGCCTCTAACAAGAAATTTGTTTTGCATGCACACGTATAAAAATTGCGGTTTTTATCCAAAGCAAATATAGGTTTGAACGTTGTTTTCAATTTAGACTTGTTTATATTTTTTCGTTTGGGCTTGTATTATATTTGCCTTCGGGTTTATATGATCCGTTCATCCTATTTTGGCTCCTCAAAATTCAAGAGTCTATCCTAAATTGAGGTAAATTGTATGGCTTTCCAAATACCGTTTCGATTCCTAACATCACTGAACAGACATTAATTGTCGAAATCCGGATAAAGTGTACAAAAACCTTTGCACCTTTTGTTTGCGGTATACCATCCTTTCCGCAAGTTTATTGTTTTCTGTTTAGTATTAAATTTATAATTAAGATCCATTTATTACATCGGTGATCCGTTTATTTGGCAATCGCCAATGGCAGTCAACAGGGTTTAAGAACATTTGTTGTTCGACCTGTTAGTCAAATGCGTTTTATTAAAATATACTTTTTCACTTTTTTTGGTCTTTTGGAAAATGTTGTTTGTGCTGTATTTAGACCCCTCTAACAAGAAATTTGTTTTGCATGCACACGTATAAAAATTGCGGTTTTTATCCAACGCAATCATAGGTTTGAACGTTGTTTTCAATTTAGACTTGTTTATATTTTTTCGTTTGGGCTTGTATTATATTTGCCTTCGGGTTTATATGATCCGTTCATCCTATTTTGACTCCTCAAAATTCAAGAGTCTATCCCAAATTGAGGTAAATTGTATGGCTTTCCAAATACCGTTTCGATTCCTAACATCACTGAAGAGACATTAATTGTCGAAATCCGGATATGGTGTACAAATTTTTGCACCTCATGTTTGCGGTATACCATCTTTTCCGCAAGTTTATTGTTTTCTATTTGGTATTAAATTAATAAATTAAATAAAGATCCATTTTGTTACATCTTGTGATCCGTTTATTTGGCAATCGCCAATGGCAGTCAGCAGGGTTTAAGAACATCAGTTGTTCGACTTATTAGTCAAATGCGTTTTGTTTGAATATACTTTTTCACTTTTTTGGTCTTTTGGAAAATGTTTTTGCTGGATTTAGACCCCTCTACCAAGAAATTTGTTTTGCATGCACACGTGTAAAAATTGCGGTTTTATCCAACGCAATCATATGTTTGAACGTTGTATTCAATTTAGACTTATTTATAATTTTTTCGCTAGGGCTTGTATTATATTTGCCTTCGGGTTTATATGATCCGTTCATCCTATTTCGACTCTCTAAAATTCAAGAGTCTATCCTAAATTGAAGTAAATTATATGGCCTTCCAAATACCGTTTCGATTCCTAACATCACTGAAGAGACATTAATTGTCGAAATCCAGATATAGTGTACAAATTTTTGCACCTCATGTTTGCGGTATACCATCTTTTCCGCAAGTTTATTGTTTTCTATTTGGTATTAAATAAATAAATTAAATAAAGATCCATTTTGTTACATCTTGTGATCCGTTTATTTGGCAATCGCCAATGGCAGTCAACAGGGTTTAAGAACATCAGTTGTTCGACCTGTAAGTCAAATGCGTTTTGTTTGAATATACTTTTTCACTTTTTTGGTCTTTTGGAAATTGTTGTTTGTGCTGTATTTAGACGCCTCTAACAAGAAATTTGTTTTGCATGCACACGTATAAAAATTGCGGTTTTTATCCAAAGCAATCATAGGTTTGAACGTTGTTTTCAATTTAGACTTGTTTATATTTTTTCGTTTGGGCTTGTATTATATTTGCCTTCGGGTTTATATGATCCGTTCATCCTATTTTGACTCCTCAAAATTCAAGAGTCTATCCTAAATTGAGGTAAATTGTATGGCTTTCCAAATACCGTTTCGATTCCTAACATCACTGAAGAGACATTATTGTCGAAATCCGGATATGGTGTACAAAAACCTTTGCACCTTTTGTTTGCGGTATACCATCCTTTCAGCAAGTTTATTGTTTTCTGTTTAGTATTAAATTTATAATTAAGATCCATTTATTACATCGGTGATCCGTTTATTTGGCAATCGCCAATGGCAGTCAACAGGGTTTAAGAACATTTGTTGATCGACCTGTTAGTCAAATGCATTTGTTAAAATATACTTTTTCAGTTTTTTTGGTCTTTTGGAAAATGTTGTTTGTGCTGTATTTAGACCCCTCTAACAAGAAATTTGTTTTGCATGCACACGTATAAAAATTGCGGTTTTTATCCAACGCAATCATAGGTTTGAACGTTGTTTTCAATTTAGACTTGTTTATATTTTTTCGTTTGGGCTTGTATTATATTTGCCTTCGGGTTTATATGATCCGTTCATCCTATTTTGACTCCTCAAAATTCAAGAGTCTATCTTAAATTGAGGTAAATTATATGGCCTTCCAAATACCGTTTCGATTCCTAACATCACTGAAGAGACATTAATTGTCGAAATCCGGATATGGTGTACAAATTTTTGCACCTCATGTTTGCGGTATACCATCTTTTCCGCAAGTTTATTGTTTTCTATTTGGTATTGAATTAATAAATTAAATAAAGATCCATTTTGTTACATCTTGTGATCCGTTTATTTGGCAATTGTCAATGGCTGTCAGCAGGGTTTAAGAACATCAGTTGTTCGAACTGTTAGTCAAATGCGTTTTGTTTAAATATACTTTTTCACCTTTTTGGTCTTTTGGAAAATGTTGTTTGTGCTGTATTTAGACGCCTCTAACAAGAAATTTGTTTTGCATGCACACGTATAAAAATTGCGGTTTTTATCCAAAGCAATCATAGGTTTGAACGTTGTTTTCAATTTAGACTTGTTTATATTTTTTCGTTTGGGCTTGTATTATATTTGCCTTCGGGTTTATATGATCCGTTCATCCTATTTTGACTCCTCAAAATTCAAGAGTCTATCCTAAATTGAGGTAAATTGTATGGCTTTCCAAATACCGTTTCGATTCCTAACATCACTGAAGAGACATTAATTGTCGAAATCCGGATATGGTGTACAAAAACCTTTGCACCTTTTGTTTGCGGTATACCATCCTTTCCGCAAGTTTATTGTTTTCTGTTTAGTATCAAATTTATAATTAAGATCCATTTATTACATCGGTGATCCGTTTATTTGGCAATCGCCAATGGCAGTCAACAGGGTTTAAGAACATTTGTTGTTCGACCTGTTAGTCAAATGCGTTTTGTTAAAATATACTTTTTCACTTTTTTTGGTCTTTTGGAAAATGTTGTTTGTGCTGTATTTAGACCCCTCTACCAAGAAATTTGTTTTGCATGCACACGTATAAAAATTGCGATTTTTATCCAACGCAATCATAGGTTTGAACGTTGTTTTCAATTTAGACTTGTTTATATTCTTTCGTTTGGGCTTGTATTATATTTGCCTTCGGGTTTATATGATCCGTTCATCCTATTTTGACTCCTCAAAATTCAAGAGTCTATCCTAAATTGAGGTAAATTGTATGGCTTTCCAAATACCGTTTCGATTCCTAACATCACTGAAGAGACATTAATTGTCGAAATCCAGATATGGTGTGCAAAAACCTTTGCACCTTTTGTTTGCGGTATACCATCCTTTCCGCAAGTTTATTGTTTTCTGTTTAGTATTAAATTTATAATTAAGATCCATTTATTACATCGGTGATCCGTTTATTTGGCAATCGCCAATGGCAGTCAACAGGGTTTAAGAACATTTGTTGTTCGACCTGTTAGTCAAATGCGTTTTGTTAAAATATACCTTTTCACTTTTTTTGGTCTTTTGGAAAATGTTGTTTGTGCTGTATTTAGACCCCTCTAACAAGAAATTTGTTTTGCATGCACACGTATAAAAATTGCGATTTTTATCCAACGCAATCATAGGTTTGAACGTGGTTTTCAATTTAGACTTGTTTATATTTTTTCGTTTGGGCTTGTATTATATTTGCCTTCGGGTTTATATGATCTGTTCATCCTATTTCGACTCTTTAAAATTCAAGAGTCTATCTTAAATTGAGGTAAATTATATGGCCTTCCAAATACCGTTTCGATTCCTAACATCACTGAAGAGACATTAATTGTCGAAATCCGGATATGGTGTACAAATTTTTGCACCTCATGTTTGCGGTATACCATCTTTTCCGCAAGTTTATTGTTTTCTATTTGGTATTAAATTAATAAATTAAATTAAGATCCATTTTGTTACATCTTGTGATCCGTTTATTTGGCAATTGTCAATGGCTGTCAGCAGGGTTTAAGAACATCAGTTGTTCGAACTGTTAGTCAAATGCGTTTTGTTTAAATATACTTTTTCACCTTTTTGGTCTTTTGGAAAATGTTGTTTGTGCTGTATTTAGACGCCTCTAACAAGAAATTTGTTTTGCATGCACACGTATAAAAATTGCGGTTTTTATCCAAAGCAATCATAGGTTTGAACGTTGTTTTCAATTTAGACTTGTTTATATTTTTTCGTTTGGGCTTGTATTATATTTGCCTTCGGGTTTATATGATCCGTTCATCCTATTTTGACTCCTCAAAATTCAAGAGTCTATCCTAAATTGAGGTAAATTGTATGGCTTTCCAAATACCGTTTCGATTCCTAACATCACTGAAGAGACATTAATTGTCGAAATCCGGATATGGTGTACAAAAACCTTTGCACCTTTTGTTTGCGGTATACCATCCTTTCCGCAAGTTTATTGTTTTCTGTTTAGTATCAAATTTATAATTAAGATCCATTTATTACATCGGTGATCCGTTTATTTGGCAATCGCCAATGGCAGTCAACAGGGTTTAAGAACATTTGTTGTTCGACCTGTTAGTCAAATGCGTTTTGTTAAAATATACTTTTTCAGTTTTTTTGGTCTTTTGGAAAATGTTGTTTGTGCTGTATTTAGACCCCTCTACCAAGAAATTTGTTTTGCATGCACACGTATAAAAATTGCGATTTTTATCCAACGCAATCATAGGTTTGAACGTTGTTTTCAATTTAGACTTGTTTATATTCTTTCGTTTGGGCTTGTATTATATTTGCCTTAGGGTTTATATGATCCGTTCATCCTATTTTGACTCCTCAAAATTCAAGAGTCTATCCTAAATTGAGGTAAATTGTATGGCTTTCCAAATACCGTTTCGATTCCTAACATCACTGAAGAGACATTAATTGTCGAAATCCAGATATGGTGTACAAAAACCTTTGCACCTTTTGTTTGCGGTATACCATCCTTTCCGCAAGTTTATTGTTTTCTGTTTAGTATTAAATTTATAATTAAGATCCATTTATTACATCGGTGATCCGTTTATTTGGCAATCGCCAATGGCAGTCAACAGGGTTTAAGAACATTTGTTGTTCGACCTGTTAGTCAAATGCGTTTTGTTAAAATATACTTTTTCACTTTTTTTGGTCTTTTGGAAAATGTTGTTTGTGCTGTATTTAGACCCCTCTAACAAGAAATTTGTTTTGTATGCACACGTATAAAAATTGCGGTTTTTATCCAAAGCAATCATAGGTTTGAACGTTGTTTTCAATTTAGACTTGTTTATATTTTTTCGTTTGGGCTTGTATTATATTTGCCTTCGGGTTTATATGATCCGTTCATCCTATTTTGACTCCTCAAAATTCAAGAGTCTATCCTAAATTGAGGTAAATTGTATGGCTTTCCAAATACCGTTTCGATTCCTAACATCACTGAAGAGACATTAATTGTCGAAATCCGGATATGGTGTACAAAAACCTTTGCACCTTTTGTTTGCGGTATACCATCCTTTCCGCAAGTTTATTGTTTTCTGTTAAGTATCAAATTTATAATTAAGATCCATTTATTACATCGGTGATCCGTTTATTTGGCAATCGCCAATGGCAGTCAACAGGGTTTAAGAACATTTGTTGTTCGACCTGTTAGTCAAATGCGTTTTGTTAAAATATACTTTTTCAGTTTTTTTGGTCTTTTGGAAAATGTTGTTTGTGCTGTATTTAGACCCCTCTACCAAGAAATTTGTTTTGCATGCACACGTATAAAAATTGCGATTTTTATCCAACGCAATCATAGGTTTGAACGTTGTTTTCAATTTAGACTTGTTTATATTCTTTCGTTTGGGCTTGTATTATATTTGCCTTAGGGTTTATATGATCCGTTCATCCTATTTTGACTCCTCAAAATTCAAGAGTCTATCCTAAATTGAGGTAAATTGTATGGCTTTCCAAATACCGTTTCGATTCCTAACATCACTGAAGAGACATTAATTGTCGAAATCCAGATATGGTGTACAAAAACCTTTGCACCTTTTGTTTGCGGTATACCATCCTTTCCGCAAGTTTATTGTTTTCTGTTTAGTATTAAATTTATAATTAAGATCCATTTATTACATCGGTGATCCGTTTATTTGGCAATCGCCAATGGCAGTCAACAGGGTTTAAGAACATTTGTTGTTCGACCTGTTAGTCAAATGCGTTTTGTTAAAATATACTTTTTCACTTTTTTTGGTCTTTTGGAAAATGTTGTTTGTGCTGTATTTAGACCCCTCTAACAAGAAATTTGTTTTGTATGCACACGTATAAAAATTGCGGTTTTTATCCAACGCAATCATAGGTTTGAACGTTGTTTTCAATTTAGACTTGTTTTTATTTTTTCGTTTAGGCTTGTATTATATTTGCCTTCGGGTTTATATGATCCGTTCATCCTATTTTGACTCCTCAAAATTCAAGAGTCTATCCTAAATTGAGGTTAATTGTATGGCTTTCCAAATACCGTTTCGATTCCTAACATCACTGAAGAGACATTAATTGTCGAAATCCAGATATGGTGTACAAAAACCTTTGCACCTTTTGTTTGCGGTATACCATCCTTTCCGCAAGTTTATTGTTTTCTGTTTAGTATTAAATTTATAATTAAGATCCATTTATTACATCGGTGATCCGTTTATTTGGCAATCGCCAATGGCAGTCAACAGGGTTTAAGAACATTTGTTGTTCGACCTGTTAGTCAAATGCGTTTTGTTAAAATATACTTTTTCACTTTTTTTTGGTCTTTTGGAAAATGTTGTTTGTGCTGTATTTAGACCCCTCTAACAAGAAATTTGTTTTGCATGCACACGTATAAAAATTGCGGTTTTTATCCAACGCAATCATAGGTTTGAACGTTGTTTTCAATTTAGACTTGTTTATATATATATATGTATATATATATATAAATATATACCAACGTTAAATCAAATTATGATCGCGTCAATAACACTTTCGAACAGGGGCCGGTTGTTCAACTTGTCGTTAACTTCTACTTTACCATAGGTAATACTTACACTGAAAACAGCAACTTTCTAAATTTTGGAATTTAAAAAATGCCCTGTTATACATATCAACTGGGAAATATGTACTCCATATGTCGATATTGCAAGAAATTTGCTTTAAAAAACGGAAGTCATCTCTTTTGTCAGAGTTCCAAACCGATCATTACTATACCTTTTAGTCTAGATATAAAAATACAGTGGCAAAACAGATGACACGAGAACAAAAGAAAATTGTCTCTTCTAAGAAAAGTCGACAAAATTAATAGTAAAACAATGTTGGTGACGATACAGATAAAGAGTTAGTTCTTAGTGACAATTTTACATTTTAAAGAACATAATTGTTAAACTCTGTTATTAAAATATACATGCAAATACGTAATGTTTTATTTTCATTATTTATCGAGATAATTGCATTAGAAGCTTGTGAAACTGAAATTTAAAAATGTTAATCTTTACTGAAGATTGATTAAAAAAATTGGAACAAAACAAAAATTATGAACATACAATATCAAAAGCTCTTTCGAGTTACCAATTTTCGGAGTTTCCACAAAGACCTTAGCATTTTACAATTTAAAAAATGTACATGCATTTGCGCTCGTCTCGAAATGTTCGCATTCAATGTTTACATCGGGATAAGGTCCGTTTGGATTTTCTTACTAACTTAATTTCAAAGTGTTAATCTTTGCTGCATATCAATCGATGCCTTTAGTATTTTTTCCTCAACTTCTCAGATCTAGCTGCATACATATACGGAAAACTGGCATGTTCCAGAGAGGTATATAACCAGTAGAATAATGAATTTAAGTTGGTACTGCAGGAATTTATTCGCAAAGCAACATTTCAAACCAATTGTACACAAAGCTCATGTAGAAAAATACGGATATGTGGTATGATAACTGTCCACCAAAGTTCAAAGGAAGTAGATGTAAGCAATTCTCAACAATGAGAAAACCCATACCGTATAGTTGGCTATAAAAATATGAAATAATTCAATTGAGAAAACTAACGGCCTAAATTATAACAAAACAATCTTTGAAAAACAAATATGACAGACATGAACTAACGACAACCACTGAACTACAGATTTCTGACTTAGGACATGCACATATAGAATGTGGCGGTGTAGCCTACTGTTCTCGTCATTTGCTATTTTAGGAGGGAAAAGATAACATTATATGAACATTTTGGTTTATATAGATATATTTTTATTGTTACAATTTACCAGAACGTTTTTTTTTATGAATTTATAATTAATAGAGTCCTTGCAATGCTAAAACGGGACAAACATTGTAAAGATCATGTTTTCGGTGTTCACAGGGGGTAATATTTTGACACTAGATTTCCTCCCGGATATGAAGCCGACCTAACTGTGTCAATATTTTCCTTTATTTTAAGCTATATGGGATAACACATCGATTGTTGTCAATATCAAGAAGAAAATAACATACTATCATTTAAAAGGAGTATTAAAGTTGGAAAAGGATTAGTTGAGCAATTAAACATATGTTTTACGAAGTCAAAGTTATTTACCTTTTGAAGTCATGTTGACATGCCAGCATGACCTCGACCTTACTCCTGTGTAGATATCAATGAACCAGATATATATTGCTGCTACTATTTTGGTTTGTTTTGAAAAGTGTTAAGACCTGATAAGAAGTATAATAGTGTTAAATATTCGAATGAATAGGTTCAATACTCGAATGATTATTGTTTGCTTCGTGAGCTTTTAAATCTCAATTCCATTTAATTGTGTAGGTAGGAACTTCATTAGTGTAGTTTTATTAATATGACTGAAAATTAATATTATAAAAGATCGAATACTTTTCATGAGCACATGATATCGACCTCTATCGTAGATCTACCATCAAAATCAGATTCTACAAAACACACATTTAGATAAAA